TGCGGGCTGTTGTGGGTTTTTTTTTTTTCTTTTTTGTTTTTTTGTTTTTTTTTTGTCTCCCCATGGTCTCTCTTCACCAGATGTCTGATTATGTAGTTCTCTCTGTCCTTATCCCAGACAAAATCTGACTTTTCTTTTGTGTGGTGCAGAGCTCCTGTGAATCCACATATTTGTGCCAGTTGGGGCCCGGTGTTCTGGGGCTCGCAGCTGTTTGGTGGTTGCCGCAGTTGTAACTTTTCAAACCTCCAACAAGATCCACTTTCCCCTTTAAAATGGTGTGGTCTCCTAGTCTGAGCCCACAGCTCAGGTAGAGTACCCAGCAACATTGGGGGCTGCCGGGTCAGGAGAACCCCATCCAGCAGTACAGCACCTTCTCCTGGAGCACATCTCTCCCTTAACTTGCCAACAAATACTCCCCGTGTTACCCTCAGCTGTTCTTTCTTTCTCCTCTGGGTCAAGGCTCAGGACCTATCTACTTATTCTACCGCTATTTTTTTCTGAATCCTGTGATGTCGTTTTCTTCTGTTTTATTTTCAAAGCTTTATTGTTTCTCTGTGTCTCTGTGATTCTCTGAGACATGGGTGGTTGGTCACATCTCCCAGGTGGAGCACCTCCATGTAAGCTATCGGTTGTCCTGGTTTCTCTCTCCCTAGGAAAAACCTTGAAGACGGCTAAGTATCTAAAGCAGAAAGACTTTGAGTTCCTGTGCCTCAACAGCACCAGAAAGCCTGTGTCTGAGGCTCAGAACTGCCACCTAGGCATAGTCCCAAATTATGCTATGGTCTCAAGGAAAGATCCAACATTTTCTTTATCTATTAGTCCATTGATAAACACTTGGGCTGCTTCCATGTTTTGGTTATCCTACCTAATAAAAGAGTAATATGCAAATTAACCACCACTCTGCTACACCCACCACCCACACCCACCAACCATGCCCACCTGCCTATCACAGTGAATATGCAAATTAACCACAACCAAGATGGCTATGGCCACAGAGAGCAGGAGAGGCTAGTGTTGCCCTTGGTGATAGAGGAAGCCAAGCTTCTGCAGCCCTGGCCAGAATAGGTCTCCACTCCAGGCTTCAAAGTTTCAATTATAGAAAGTAAACAAATTCAAATAGAAATGGCAGCACCCACAGAGCAAGCAGGAGGCTTGGCTTTGCTCCTGGCTACAAAGTTTCAATTGTAGAAGATAAAGAAATCCCAGATACCAGAGCCTTTGCTTGGGTCACCTGGGGGCATGTCCAGCCTGCAAACCAGCACAGGCCCCTTGCCCAAGTCATCCCACGCCTCCACCCTGATCCGGGACACCCTTTTGGGCAAACAAGCCAGTCTCCACCCATGCACCAGGCCTCTATCCTATCTAATAAAAGAGTAATATGCAAATTGATCATCACCCCAACACACAAGATGGCTGCCCCCATGTGGCCAAAGATCATGCTCCCATGTGGACACAGATGGCCACCACAAGATGGCCAGCACGGAAGGGCAGTTGGGAGGGACCAGGCCTGCAAGAGAGGACAGTTGTGGGAGATTAAACAAGCAGGGAGGGCAATTGGGAGGCACCAGGCCTGCAAGGGAGGGAAGTTGGGAGCGATCAACCCTGCAGTGGAGGACAGTTAGAGTGACCAGGCCAGTAGAGGAGTGAAGTTGAGGGCAAACAGGCTAGTAGGGGAGCAGTTAGACATCAATCAGGCTGGCATAGGAATGGTTAGGGAGTGATCAGGCTGGTAGGCAGAAGCAGTTAGGGGCAACCAAGAAGGCAGGCAGGTGAATAGTTGGGAGCCAGTAGTCCTGAATTGTGAGAGAGATGTCCCTGATTAGAGAGGTGCAGGCTGGGCTGAGGGACACCCCCCCCCCCATTGCCGTGCATGCATTTTGTGCACCAGGCCTCTTGTTATAAATAATATAGCAGTGAACATGGGGACATAATCAACATTCAAAATGAGATTTTATTTCCTTTGCTCATTTAATACATTCCCAGAAGTGTCATTGATGGATCAATTTTGTTTTTAATTATTTGAGGAATCTCCATACTGTTTCCTCCAGTGGCTCTGTCAATTTACATTCTCACCAATATTGCACAAAGTTCCTTTTTACCAATATCCTGGCCAGCACACTTACTATCTTTTTTCTTAATATTTTTGAGGTAATATATCATTATGGTTTTATTTGCATTTTCCTGATTATTGGTTATATTAAGCACTTTTTTCATGTACTTATTGGCTATTTTATATCTTATATGGAAAAATGTTTATTCAAGTCCTTTCTGATTTTTAAAATTACAATATTTGTTCTTTTTCTATTGAGTTTTATGGGTTCCTTACATATTTTGTATACAAACCCCTAACCAGAGATATGATTTGTAAATATTTTCTCCCATTCAGTAAGTAGGTTGCCATTTAATTTTGTTGACTGTTTCTTTTGCTATACAGAAGTTTTTAAATTTTATGTATTTCCCACTTGTTTGTTTTTCCTTTTGTTTTGCTTATACTTTTAGTGTCAAATCCAGAAATTTTTTGCCAGTCCAATATCAAGGCAATGTTGCTTTTCTTTTGCTCTTTTCAAAGTTCTACTTTTACCTCCAATGTTTGTAAATTTAATTATAATGTGTTTCAGTGTAGTACTTTTAGAGTACAACCCATTTGCAGCTCTTGAGCCTCATAAATCTGAATATTTATTTCTTACCCCAAGTTTGGTAAAGCGACAATTTCAGAGGGAGTGGGGGAAGTACAAAAGAGGGTGCGGAAGAGATTAACAATAGAATTTACATCATATTTGTATAACCCATGGACACAGACTGCATTAAAGGCCTAGAGGTGGAGGCAGAGAGGTGAAGTGTGTCTATGGGTGGAAAAGGGGACATCTGTAATACTTTCAACTATAAATATATTTTAAAAAATAAACTGTACATAAGCAATAAATACCGTGTTTCCCCGAAAATAAGACATCCCCTGAAAATAAGACCTAGCGCAACTTTGGGAGAAAAAATTAATATAAGACACTGTCTTCTTTTCGGGGAAGCAGGATATATACATATATATATTTTTTTTTAAATAAAAGAAAGTACTTAGTTAAAAAGAAAAAAGAAAAAAAAAGGACTGTTTTGTTTTCTTTTTTTTCTTTTGCAATTTCCATATATATATTGGATCTTTTGTCCCATAAGTTCCATACATTTTTTTCACTCTTTATCATTCTTTGTTCTTTTTTCACTGACTAGGTAATTTCAAATGATCTGCTTTGGGTTCACTGGTTCTTCTTTTTGTTGAGTCTGTTGTTGAAGCTTTCTATTCAATTCTTTATTTTATTCAGTGATTCTCCAGCTCTAGGATTTCTGGGTGTTTTGTTGTTGATTTTTAATGGTTTCTGTTTCTCTGTTGAACCACTAATTTTGTTGTGCATTGTTTTCCTAACTTCATTTAATTTTCTGTATGCTTTTGTAATTCACTTAACTTCTTTGAGAGGATTATTCTGAATTCTTTGTCAGATAGTTCAAATCTCCATTTTTTTATGGTCACTTAGAGGTTTATTATTTTGATGATGTCATATTATCTGGTCATGATGTATGATGACATATCATATCTGATTCTTCATGATCTTTGTGTCCATGTGCAGGTATCTGCACATTTGAGTATATGGTTTCCTCTTGCAGACTTTGTTTTGGCAGGGAAAGATCTTTATGAGTCAACTCAGCTTTGGGGAGTACTGGATGAGTCACCTGGTAGTGTCTAAAGGGAGGTAGAGATTCCTACTGTGTTCTCTAGCTATATGAAGCCATAGCAGCTTCGAAATTGGGAGTGGGGTGCTGCTGACTGGGCTCCATGGTTGAGTAGGACTTGTCGCTGGGCTCCATGTTCAAGTGGGACTGCTGGGTGGGCTCCCTGGTCATGTGGGGCCAGTGGTATTTTCTACAGTTAGGTAAGGCCACTAGGTATGCTGTGTAGTCACCTCTGGTCAGGCAGGTTTGCAGGTTTTGATTCTTGGCACAACATTGCCACCAGTGGGATTGGACAAGGCTGCAGGCTATGTTCTGTAGTTGTTTCTCACTGGGTGGAGCCTTAGGCTGTGCTCTCTGACCAGATGGTACCACCATTTGGACTTCACATTCAGGTGGGGCCATAGGCCAGGCTTCGTGATCAGATGGATCTTCAGGCTGTGCTCTGAGATCAGGTAGGGCTGCAAGCTGTGCCCTAAAGTTTGGCAAGGCTATAGGCTGAGCTTTGCGTTCAGGTAAGTTGTTTGCTGCTCTCTGCTATTGGTTGAGGTTGCTGGCTTAGGTGATTCTTGTTAAATTTGAGCTCTTGAGGATATGGATAAGGATGGGGCCTACCTGAAAAAGAGCTCAGAGGAGACTTACTAGAGTTTAGTGAAGGAGAGAATCTTGTCACTTGATTCAGTTTTCTAATACGTGTAATGGATTTCTGCTCTATATTCCTAAGAGAAATTGATTCATAGTTTTCTTTTTGTACTGTCTTTGTCTGGATTTTCTATCTTATATTATGACAATAATTTCTTAGCGTTTTGTCTATTTAACAAATCTTGCTACTTTTCCCTTAATTTTTTTTCTAACTTTCAGTGTTGCTATTATGCCAGTTTCTTTCTCTCTTTTTTTAAAAAAATCACTTATCAGTAAATGAATTGAATTTTCTTAGAATAATTATTGGTAAGATGATTTTATGGAGTGGGAAGACCTAGGAGAAGTTTTAGTTTTGCTTGTTTTTTACAATACACAGATTTCTCTTTTTCCCACCACCATACAGCATTTTTGTAAATAAGCTAGTTATGTTAATATTTTAGATGTGAAATCTAGAAATTCTACTTGCCTCTTAATTCCAATGAAAATAACAATATTGAGTTGTCATTGTTTGTGGGTTTTGTTTGTTCATTCATTTTTCTTTTAAATTATTTTCAGAAGGAAGAGAAGAAAATACTTAGCCATGCTGATACCAGAAATCTTGTCTTACTTTGATATTGATTGTAACAATTTTTTTCTGCTTGCAGTTATAAAATGTTGATGTCTCTGAAAAGGACTGATACTGATATAAGACCGAAGATTGATTTAAAATTTAGTACAAAAGGTATGATTTTATTTTTATATGCCTCCTTATTGAAAAGTAACATTTTTTACTTTGTACAGAGTATCATGCCATTTACAACCATGTGTATCATGCCATTAACAGCCATTCATTGGCAAGCATTTACACTAGCAAGCATTACTTGATATAGGTTAGAATTTATGCACAGAAAGATCAGCAGTTGTATGGGTCTTACAGTACATTGATATTCTATAGAGAGCTTCACTAATCTAGTTCATAGCTGTGATTTCACGATGATATTGGGCTTCAGCAGATTCTCTACCAATCCTCCCTTGTTGCATTCTCTTTTTAACATAACAAAATGGAAGGAATGAACATTTTGGATTCAAGACCAAGTTGTCTAAACTCAGTTACTAACTGTTTAGGAATATGTGCTGGGAAATGCCAGCTACACTGTACATGAAAACCTTAAGGAATCCTGGTCCCATGAAAGAATAGTCTGGTGGCATTCCTTCTTGCTAAGGGGAATCCCAGCCTTATTTGGCAAACCACAGCAACCTTTCTGGGTCATTTTCTTTGTAACCTTGCTTGCCTTTACAGTGTATATCAAGTATATCAAGTAAGAATATTCTTTTAAAATTCTCTGAAACACAGGATAAAATAATAAAGCTGAATTTTATGATAAATATAATTTTATATTAATACAACAAATACACCATCATTTACAACATTCTTACTACTTTCTAATTCATCTCAGTTTACTTTTCTTCTTTGGAAGTGCTACCAAACCAGAAAAATACTGAACAGTTCCATTTCATGCCCTACTCCATTTCATTGATGAAATACCCACTTAGTCATTACTCTTTTTTTAGAGCATAAGAACATGAGGTTTATTACATAAGTGTGTCTCAGACTTTAATAGCTATTTATGTCATCTGGTGAGTTTGTTAAAATGTTAGGTAGCCAATTCAGTTGCTCTGGGGTGTGGCCCAAGAGTTTCCTTTTCTAACAGACTTCCATATGGATGCTGATGCTGCTGGTCCATGGAATATACTTTGTGTAACGAGGTATTATAGCACTTTAAATCTTTTGATATAGTTCTGTGTTGTGGAGCAAGTAATCATATGTGGCTATTTGAATTTAAGATAATTAAAATTAGATAACATTTTAAACTTGATTTCTTTGTCAGCAAGCAGCATTTTCAGTGTCCAGTGGCTAGTGGACAGTGCAAATCTAAAACATTTTCTTAAGTTCTATTGGGCAGTGCTGATTAAGATAAAATATAATTGCCTAAGTAAGGTATAATTAAACACTGGCAGTCATAATTCTTGACAGTCTTCAGAATACTTTTATACCATTTGGTTGCCAAAGTTCATTTGCTTGAACAAAACCCTGAATGGTTGAAAGGCTTCTGTGGCGATCAATCTTTGCTTGGGGATATAATATTTTTCTTTGAATTTTTGATAGACAGATAGCACCATGCATATTGAGTACTGGCCATGGCAAAGCACTGTACTTTACTTCACTCTTTTGTACTAGTCTCTGTCCTTTAGGAAGGAGCTAATAAGCATGTAATACAGAAGACCACATAGGAAAATAGCATTGATGTGGAATGTTTTGACTTTTCAAAATTCATTTTCAGATGAAATGCCTATCTTCAAACTCGATTATAATTATTTCTATCATCTGCTTCACATAATTATTATTTGTGGTACTGACATTGTCCGGAAAATATTTGATGAGGCTCTGCCACCCCCTCTTTTGAAAAAAGAGCTCCTTATTCACAAGAAAGTGCTGGAACCCTACTACAAACATCTTTGGACTGATCACCCTTTGGGTGGAGCATGGCATCTGCTTTATCCCCCAAAGAAGAAGCTACCACAGTCCAAACAATTTGACTTATACCTCTTATTAGCTCTCATAAAACATTTGCATGTATTCCCTGCACCTAAAAATGGCTGGAATATGGAACCACCATCTTCTGATTGCTCTAAGTCTGCAGACATTCTGAGACTGTGCAAATACAGGGATCTCCTCCTTAGTGATATTTTGATGAATGGTCTCACTGAGTTACAATTTAATTCAATTTGGACAAAAGTTTCCGATACTCTTCTGCGCCTTGGAATGAAGCAAGAAGATATTGACAAAGTGAAGGAGAATCCCATTGAGAATATCTCTCTTGATTACCATCAGCTGTCCATCTACCTAGGTATACCAGTACCAGATTTCATCCAGAGGATGTTATCCTGCTATCAACAAGGTACAAAATAATTACTTACTTCAGCCAGTAAATCTTCATTTAGTGTCTGCTATGTGTCAGACACAGTGCTAAGGGCAGGAGATTCAGTGAACTCACACTCTTGAGAGAATAGACTCATCAAGAAGCTAATAGAAATATAGTGCTAGAGATGATCCAGATTACTTTGGGAAATCCTAGCTTAAGAGAGTCCAAATGAACTTTCTGGAGAATAGAATATTTAAGGAATTCCCATATCATATGTAAATGTTAGCCAAGTGAAGAAGTTAAAGAAGAATGTTTCAGAAGGAATCAAAAGCAAAGGTATGGAAACAAAATGCAGGGAACTATAAGATTGGTCTTAAGTAGGGGAGCATTTTTAGAGAAAATACATTCAAGATTATTTTTCTTACCATGTTAAGGGGTTTGTATTATCATAAAGGAATTGCTGAAGATTTTTAAGTAGAATAGTTTTATTCTACAAAATTAAGGATGCCTAAAACCATGAAATACTAATACTGTGTTTCAGAGTTATCCTTTTAGACATCATGAGTGTGTTTCTCCTCCTTTTCAGCTGCTTCTTGTAGTTTATGTAGTTGGCAGCTACCATAGGTAATTAAAAAAATTAGATAACATCTATGCAAGTATCGAAGGTCAGTAGGGCCATTCCCAGGCACTATATTTATATGGAAAAGACTTCAGACCTCTCCTACATGCCAAGATAGTCTCTCAGCTGTCAACATGGAAAGTGGAGTTCAAGGCATGCCAGCATCACTGAAACCCTTGTTCTGTTCTGAATGACTTCTCAGGACTCTTAAGTTATTAGTGATAATACCTAGTGAATAACTAATTGATAGTTACACTGATGCTATTTAAATGTGCAACTTCCAAAGTTTCTAATAATTGTTGAATAGGTTCAGATTTGTTTGAGAGATGATTGCTAGGTCTCTATCCCATTATTTTAAGGCTCTGGGATACCCTTGTGTTTTCTGCTTAACCTTAAGAGCTTGCTTTGAGCATAAAAGAAGAGAATGCCAAGATTGATGATATAAGGAAGTTAGGCAAGGACCCTTGACTCATAAATTACATGCTTTTATAATATACATTTACTCTGTTAAGATTTTAAGCAACAAAAACTCATGAGAATAAAGGCAATATCTGAGAAAGTACTTCGAGCACTAAATAAATTCAAGGCATTTCAAGAATTCTCGGGTAGTCTGAAGAACTTATTGGTCAAGTCCCTTTAATAGAGATTTTCCTAGCATTCTAAATCTCTTTCCTTGTAGTTGTTACAGTTACAGTTGCAGTTTTCATTTGTGTATCTGATTATTTGATTAATATCCATTGCCCAACTAAACTTTTATGAAGATGTCTTTTTTTTTTAATGTACTATTCAATATGTAGAGCCTGATATAACATTAACTAGAGGCTTGGTGCATGAAATTTTTTGCACTAGGGCAGGGGTTTCTCAGCCCAGCCTGTACCCTCTTACAGTCCAGGACCCCTCAAGGGATGTCCACCTGCTGACTTAGGCCCACTCTCCAGGGCAGTCAGATATCCCTCTCATAGTCCAGGACCTCTCGCTCCATACCATCTGCCTGCAGTGGTGGAGAGGCTCCTGCCACCAGCACTGCACTTGCCAGCCATGAACCCGACTTCTGACTGAGAGGCACTCCCCCTGTGGGAATGTACTGACTCCAGGGGTAAGCTCCTGTGTTGAGTGTCTTTCCCCTGGTGGTTGGTGTGTATCATAGTGACTGGTCGTTCTGCCGTTTAGTTGATTTGCATATTAGGGTTTTATTATATAGGATGTGCAAAGAGAATGGAGTGTTGATCAGGATAATTAATATTGCTAAAAAAGACTCAAACTTTCCATGGAAGTTTGATTTCATGACCTTAGATTTTACAAATAATAACAATTTGCTGCTTGGTTTAAAGTACCTATAATCTAGGCATTATATATAAAGAACTATCAAAAATTTTGTTTACTTTTTTTACTAATCATGGGTTTATAATCTTTGTTATAATCTAAAGGTCATGCCTTGTTTTAAACTAGATTCAAGAGAGAAGCTGATTATTTTTACAGTTAGTTATAACATGGTACAGTATAAAAATCTGTTTTTTCTTAATCCCAGTCATATATTTTTTGGTTGCATTTACAATTATACATCTAAATGTTTTCTTTATGTATCATAGGACTTGCTCTGCAGTCAATAACTGGCAGTCAACGTAAGTATGTTATAAACAAAATGCTTAAGTGATTTTTATTTTTAATCTTTATTGTTAAGATTATTACATATGTTCCTCTTTTTCTCCCCATTACTCCCCTCCACCTGATTCCCCACCCCATGCCCTTATCCCCCCGCCACTGTCTTTATCCATAGTTGTAATATTTTTGTCCAATCTCTTCCCAAACCCCTCACACCTCTTTCCCCTGAGAATTGCCAGTCCACTCTCTTTCTATGCCCCTGATTCTATTATATTTACCAGTTTATTCTGTTCATCAGGTTTTTTATTCACCTGGTTTTTAGATTCACTTGTTGGATAGACACGTATTTGTTGTTCATAATTTTTATCTTTACCTTTTTCTTCTTATTCCTCTTCTTAAAGAATACCTTTCAGAATTTCATGTAATATTGGTTTGGTATTGTTGAACTCCTTTAGTTTTTTGTCTGTGAAGCTCTTTATCTACCCTTCAATTCTAAATGATAGCTTTGCTGGGTAGAGTAATCTTGGTTGTAGGTTCTTGCTATTAATCACTTTGAATATTTCTTGCCACTCCCTTCTGGCCTACATAGTTTCTGTTGGGAAATCAGCTAGCAATCATATGGGTACTCCCTTGTAGGTAACTAGCTGTTTTTCTTTTGCTGTTTTCAAGATTCTCTCTTTGTCTTTTGCCCTTGGCATTTTAATTATGATATGTTTTTGTGTGGTCCTCTTTGGATTCCTTTTGTTTGGGGTTCTCTGGGCTTCCTGAACTTATAAGTCTATTTCTTTCACCAGGTAGGGAAAGTTTTCTGTCATTATTTCTTCTAATAGGTTTTTAATATTTTGTTCTCTCTCTTCTTCTGGCACCCCAGTAATTCAGATGTTGGTACAGTTAAAGTTGTCCCAGAAGCTCCTTACACTATCTTCATATTTTTGGATTCTTCTTTCTTTCTGCCTCTCTAGTTGGGTGTTTTTTGTTTCCTCGTGTTTAAAATCTTTGGTTTGATTCTTAGGGTCCTTTGATCTACTGTTGAATCTGTATAGTCTTTATTTCAGACAGTATATGCTTAATTTCTTACTGGTCCTTTTCCATTTTTTTTTTTTAATTCTTATTAAGATCTTTAAAGGTTTCACTAAGTTCCTCAGAGGTTTTTACAAGATTCTTGAGTTCCCTTATAAATGTGGTTTTGAACTCTCTGTCCAGTCTTCTGCTTTCCTCCATTTCTTTTATTTGTGATCTGCCTCTTTGTCTCCACATTTTAGCTGCTTCCCTGAGTTTATGGAGTGGCTTTGTGTGCAAGTTGTCCTTTGGGCCCAGTGGCTCAGTCTCCCCAGTTACCTGCGGTGGACACTCTTAGTGCACCCCTTTATGGACTGCATAGTCTTGTTACAGTGAAGCTTTGATTATTGTTATCACTGGGCAGAGTTGACCTCCAGGTCAATTGGCTGTGAGGATAAGCTGTGTCTACACTGGGAGAGCTTTTATGCTCAGTTTGGTTGGGGCAGGGTCTCAGAGCAGAGCAAGCAGCCTTGGTTTCCCATCAGCCCTGCCCTAAAAGGCTTGGGTCTCAGTGTCCCGTGGCAATGGCTACATGCATCTCTGAGAAAAAGCTGCTCTCGAGCTTTGCCCGCTGCCAGACAGTCCAATTTCTCCCCAAATGAGTGTGAGTACCCAAAGTCTCACACGGTTCTGTAGTACATCTAGTCAGGAGGCTTTGTTTCCCTCCGGAACAAGAAAGGCAGCCACACATTCAACTGCCCGAGCCATCTCCACATACACATCTCCTCACCTCTGTCTTCCATAGTTCCCCTGGGTCTCAGTGCCCTGCAGTTTTGGGTGCATGCACCTTTGACTGAAAGCTGCTGCCAGACAGTCCAGTTTCTCCCATATGTGTCTGGGTTCCCTGAGTCTTGCCCGGACTGGATTTCAGCCCTTTGAGGAACCTTTGTTTCACTCCGGTTTGAGAAAGCCAGCCACATATTCAGCCGCCCAGCCCTTTCTCTTGTGCATACATGTTTCCGTGTCTCTGCATCTTTGCCCTCCACTGCTCCTGCATCTCAGTATTCTTTTCTTTTTCTTTCTAGTTGTAGAATTTTCACTCAGCCGGCTTTCCATTGGTTCTGGATGATGTCTGCTTTGTCTTTTAGTTGTAGTTTTAAAATTGTTGTGTAAGGCAGCAGTATAGGTGTTCACCTATTTTGTCATCTTGGTTTCTCCTCTTAAGTGACTTTTCAATTTGGGAATGTTAAGGGATCATTGTAAGAATCTTACTTGGTCATATAAACTATATGACCAACTGTCATTGTTATAGGCTTGGAAAAGCATGTAGTTAAATTACTATTGATCAGCTGAATCTAGTTTGATCCTTTTTACTCTGTCTTGGTCTTAGTGCTAATGTCCCAGGGTTTACCCCAAGCATAGTATTTTAACTTTTTAAAAAATATATATATTTTATTGATTTTGTACAGAGAGGAAGGGAGAGAGATAGAGAGTTAGAAACATCGATGAGAGAGAGTCATCGATCAGCTGCCTCTTGCACACCCCCTACTGGGGATATGCCCGCAACCAAGGTACATGCCCTTGACCGGAATCAAACCTGGGTCCCTTTAGTCCCCAAGCCAACGCTCTATCCATTGAGCCAAACCGGTTTTGGCGTATTTTAACTTTTTGATACACAGAACATTTCAACAGGCAAACATGCATAACTGCTTGCTCTACTTGTTCATATGTGCTACTTTTCAGTTTATGTAGATTTTTATCTTTTTTGCTGGATAGTGAATTGTCAATTTTTTAAAATTTTCATGCTTTTTTTTTAATGTAAAGTATCTTCACATTTGGGTTCAGGCTAGTATTTGTACTATTATGTCGCCATTGGTAAATGGGCATTTTATTTTCATCTAATAATTAAACAAAGAAAGATGTCTTCTATTTCTACTTCTGGAGTGGTGTTTTTGGGGTATATATTTATTATAATCATAGAAGCTAAAATTGTGTGCATTCAAATACTGAGTGTTTTGTCTTTAATATTTAGATATTGACATAGAAGAATTACAAAATGAGGAAGAAGAACTAAGTCCACTTCTCATGGAGTACAATATAAATGTAAAATCAAACCCTGAGATACAGTTAGCAGACATGAATAAAGATGACGCATCGATAGCAAGTGAATCTTCAACAGAATCTATTAAAGATCTCCAGGAAGTATAAGCTCTCATTAATATTTGAATAAGAAGAACTTAATAATCAGAGCCTTTAGTTTGTTGCATGTGCTATATTTGAAGAGTTCAAGACACTGTTAGTTTGTATCTTAATTTATACTTAATAGTGTTCTCACAAAACTTAAAATGTAATGGTTCTTTCCTTAGTACTTTATTCCATAATATTTCTTGCCTTAACCATATATATGGTCATTTCACCACATTTATTGGACATTTATTATGTGGCAGACATTATGCTGGACTTTTGAACATGTTTCTTTATTCTGATTGATGGGAGTGAATGTGAGAGATTAATAGAGAGGAGAGGAAAGCATAGTGGGGAATAGAAGGAGAGAGAATGGAGGAAAAACAGCAATATTTCAACACCATTTACACAAATGTTGGAATTCTGTATTTCTGAATAGATAAACGACAACAGTTTTTATATAGTCACTAAATTTTTCTTAGGCTTAATTTTTCATCTTATGACCTGATGTTTTTTTACTTCTTAAAACTGCCTTCCTCAGTTACTAATGAGTTCATGTGTAGAAGTTTAGACTTGTGAGCTTTATTCAGTGACCTACTCACTGACATTGTTTGTTGTTCCATTATGTGTCAGTGCTTTTATTTTAAGAGCAGAAGACTGAGGTGAAAATGAAAAATTTCCATAGAATCTAGAAAGAAAATATAAGCTATATTATTAGAAGATAAAATATTTCAGCATTTAGAGGAATCTTATTTTTCAAAAACACTCAATGTGTAGTTTTGATTTCATATTAAATAAATTATTTATTACCTATCAGGTTAAGAATAAACCAATGAAAAAGAAACAGACTAAAAGTAAAAAGGTAAGAAACTATATTGGCATTATAATAGAGGGATGTCAAATTATGAACAACTTGTGTAGTATATGGATTCACTGTTATAACTTATATAATTAAGTAGACATATAGTACAAATGACTTAAATTGCCAATAGCTTATTGAATATATGATTATAAAAAAGTCTATTCGTGTTAGATCCTGAATGACTTAAACTTATAGTGTGCCTATTTTACTTCCCTACATCATAATTCATACATTTATGTATACAGATAAGAAACAGAATTAGTCACTTAGAAATTCCTTTAATTTCTGCATACCACTCTCATTTTTAAAATTCCTGCTCAGTGTTTTAAAAATGACTTTTCATGGTATTTCTACTGATATGTTCAGAAGCATTTTTTAAAACCTTAGAAAATTTTGACTTCTTTTGTGTTTAATAACCTTCCAACAATGCACTAATGTGCAAAAATAGTACAAATGTAAAAAAGCTTCTTTCATGCCCTTTTTTTTTTTTTGCCTGTTGAAAAATGAATAGGTTACTAACTATAGCACAGTTTCAGCAAGAAGTTTTTTAATTGCTTATAAAATTACAAGGGAGAGCCAAGAGTCATTTTGTGGGGACTTTTCTTTTTTAATTCAGACTTTATTTTCAAATTAAAATTAAATAGGGAATAAATACATCTGGAAATGTAAACACTCAAAAATTCATACTGTAGTAATATTTTAAATGTCTTTATATATGTCAGCATCTATCTAGGAATTTCTGTGTTTGTTTTTTTAACATCCCAAGTTTTTTGTTGTTTTTTTCCAATTTACTTTATTAAAAGAAGTTGAGCCCTGGCTGGTGTGGCTTAATTGGTTGCGTATCATCTTGGGCACCAAAAGGTTGCTGGTTCCTTTCCTGGTTAGGGCACATACCCAGGTTTTAAGCTCTATCCCAGTAGGGGGCATGCAAGAGGCAGTCAATTGATGTTCAACTCTCAGATGGATGCTTCTCTTGCTCTCTACTTCTCCCTTTCATTCTCGATAAAAATTAAAGACAAAATTTTTTTTAAAGAAGCTGAGATTCTTTGAACATAGATAATTTTATTAAGATACATTTTGGACATTAAAAGAGAGATCTTACATCTTTTTTTTTTAATATACTTTATGATTTTTTATAGAGAGGAAGGGAGAGAGATAGAGAGCTAGAAATGTCGATGAGAGAGAAACATCGACCAGCTGCCTCTTGCACACCCCCTGCCGGGGATGTGCCCGCAACTAAGGTACATGCCCTTGATTGGAATCGAACCCAGGACCTTTCAGTCCGCAGACCGATGCCCTACCACTGAGCCAAACCAGTTTCGGCAATCTTTTAATTAAATTTTATAGGACCTAACATGCTGAAATTTTGACATATCATTTGATATATTAAAATCCTATTTATATACTCAATTGCTTTTATTTTAAGTGCAAAGAATTTTCTACTTGTAGTATAATAAGCAACCACTCATAAAAATTCTTGATTCTGTTTTTCAGAATAAGGAATCAAAAGAAGAGCAAGTGTAAGTATTTATTTAATTTTAAAATTTTTCTTAGTAATTTCAAAATGTGCTTTGCCATATGAAACAGCCTTGCCTTGGGAAGTGTTCTCAATAAGAGAATAAAGAACAGTTCTTTAATAAGTTGTCACCATTTACATAAAGTGAAAAAAATTAACTTATCATTTACTTTGGTAGAATAGAATCTTTCACCATTTTCCTATAAGGCTACTCAGAAGTCACCAGTTGCTAACAGCTTCACGTGAGGACTAATTTGGGTCCAGCATAAATCTTTTAAAATATAGTCTAGATTTGCTAACCACAACCCAAGACTTAACTTTACTAAATAAGATTTATTTGCTAAATAAAACTTAACTTTAAAGGACAAAATATTGTTTGTCCCAATGATTTCTTTAACAAGAGTTTGTTTTTATTTGTTTTAATTTAGTTTGTTTAATTAACCTGAGGTTTGGTGTATGTGTTTTAAATCTTGGTTATTAACAGTGAATTTTGAATCTTTACTAGAAACCTTTTAGTATCTAAAGATTACTGTGAGCTATATTGTGCAGCCATTATATTGATGACAATGTAGTAGAGGAAGGAAGTAGGAGAGACAGTCCAAAGAAGAGATCATTATACTTTCCAAAAAGTTTCTTAACTGAAATTGGGACCTGTGTAAAACTTATTGTGAGAACATGTTATCTTTAAAATGGTAACAAGATCATACATATTTTGTCAACTTTCAAGCCATCACTTGTAGTTGATATTTTCTCATTGTTAATTGATATGATCCACTTAATAACTTAATAATTCCTTATCCAAGGTAAATTTTCACTTTCTCTATCAATAATAGAGAAAGCCCTTACAGCAATGATTTTCAACTGGTGTACTGCAAGGATTTTTAAAATATGTAATATTTGACTATTTAGTCAGGAGCTCTTAAACTGTCATATTAAAAAAATAACAACCAACACAACAGTAACCATTGGTGTGAATAAATCAATATTATACCAAGTTTTTTTGTCAGATTGGCAAAAAATATATTTTTGGTGTGCTGTAGATTTTAGTAATTTTTTTGTGTGCTATGACATGAAAAAGGCTGAAATGCTGCCATAGAATAATAGTTTTGTTCCTTTAATTTTTAGGCTGTATGCAAATTTCATGAAAATAACTTATTAAAGAATATAATAATATCATCAGTCATTTTGCTTATTTTGCCTATAGTGTAGACCCAAACCTGAATGATCATCAAATCACTCAGGGAGTTGTTGTTTTTTTTTTAATAAAAATGTTCAATTACATAAAAATAATATGTCTACATTAGTACATCTACCTATCTTCTCAATTTAACAGTTATTACTATTTTCCATATTTGTTTCATTCTTGCCTTAACATTTTGTTTTTTGTTGATGGGTTTTAAATCCCTAAGTTTATGTAATTATACCTCTGCATGTTTCAGTTTGCATCTCTTAGTAATATGAACATTTTCCTATATTTTCACAATACTATTAATCATACTTGTAAAAATTTAGGAATAATCTTCTGGAATTTTAAAAAATACAATGTGTATATATTTTTACAGTTTTGGGGGTACCTGGAAAAATATAAATTAAAAAGTTTTTTTCAGGTAATTTAGAAAATCAGTTTTGTTTGGGATCCATTGGTATATACAAGCAGTTGATTTCATTGAACTTTCCAAAATATTTGAATCATTCTGGAATACTTCAGTGATACCTAATGAGTATTTTATAGTGTCTTATAAGTTATTCTACAAGTATTAGATTTCAATTTTCTTAGTTCTCAGTGGCCTAAAAGAAATAATAATGCATCCAAGAGTTACTTTTTTTTTCTTCTATTCGCTGATAAAATCAAATCATTTATATCATGGTAAAAGTACTATTTCTTAAGTGTTTTTTTGTTATCATTCAATGAGATTAGGAAGAAATTTATAACTACTAAACAGTAGCCAACTGAAAGGATAGTGATACGCATTTACTCTTTAGACATATGTATAATAATGGTTTAATTGCCATTGTACATGTAAAATTTGTATGTTTTCTCGCAGTGGTTCCTAGTGACTAAAATTTGTGTTATTACTACAGTTTTTTAAGGTCCTGTCATAAAAGAAACATGCATTTAAAAATCTACTTTACGTTGCTATTTGCAGCCTCCTATTTAAATGTATATTGAGCCTACATGCTGAAATTGATTAAACCAAACTACCTGTTAAGAATTTTGTCATAAAATATTGTAGATGTGGAAATGCTTGTTAATATTTTCCAAAGTAATTGATGTTAATAGTTACAATTTAGAAAACAAACTTTATGATCTAGTAGTTCTTAAAAACACTAAGATGAGTGCTATTTCAAATAAGCTAAAATTCATTGTGATTTTTCCAAGAAAACACAGCCTGAACACTGTCTAAAATTTAGGCCATAAACCCTTCTGATGCTGAGCATCTCATGAGACTAGTGCAATATTAATTTAGAAAACAATGGTTTAGATGAAAACTCTATACAATTCTAAAAGATCACTTTGATTTTATCATTATTGTAGCCAAAATATGGTAGAAAAGGAAGAGTATTTGAAGAAAGAGCAAGCAAATCTACACCCAGTAGATATAAGTGATATTCAAGAAGATTCCACAACTGAAGTAAAGTGCTATTGCGTGGATGAATTGCAAATTATGAAGCTGATAGAGCAGGTAAGCCTGATTGGAGAGAGGAGCGCTCTGCCTTTCTTCTTCCAGAAATAATTGTAGACTTTGTTTGCCCCATGACTCTTTGAATAGCATGTTAGTCTAGTGGTTTATTCTTGTGTTTGTGAGGAGAAAACAACAACAACACAAAACAAAACAGGAAGGGAGGGAAAGAGGGATGAGAAAGGAAAAAAGATTAGGAGCTAGAAACTTTTCATTTTACTCCTCAAGCAATTTCTTGGTTTTAATTATTGTCAGAGTTGATTACAACTGTAATTTTTGCAAAGGGGTTTCAGCTACCTCAGAAGAAGGGGTGAAACTGGCATAATCCTATTAGATTATATTTCATGAGAAAAATAGTCTTGTAAAACAAATCTACTTTCATTGTTTTTTTAGTTAAATCTGGTTGTTACCATGAAATATCAGTGTATAACAATCTTTTCTTTGGTTCCTTTCCTGGTAGTAATCATTGCTGGGTATAAAATACCTATATGTGAAAATGCATATGAATATTATTTAAGTATTGAAATAATACAAAAATACAAAGCTTATAAAAGGTTTTTTTAAAGAAATGCCTTGATTTTTTTTACCCCTGAGAATTCTATACTGAGATCATTTTATGATAACCTGATCCATGGTTTAAATATAATGATATATAGTATATTGACAATATTGATTATCTAAGGTACAGTTAACACAAATGATTCCCTGGCTGATAGTAAAGTCCTTTATAATAAAAACCCCAATATGCAAATCAACTGAAAGATGGAGCAAACAGTCTCTATGATGCGCACTGACCACCAGGGGGCAGGCGCTCATGGCAGGAGATCCCCCCCCTTCCCCAGGTGGTCAGTGTGCTCCCACATGGGGAACTCCACTCAGCCAGAAGCCAGGCTCACAGCTGGTGAGAGCAGCACTGGAGACAGAAGCCTCTCCCGCCTCTGCTACAGGCAGGTGGTAAGGAGTGAGGAGTCCCAGACTAAAGGAGGCATGTCTGACTGCCGGCTTAGGCCTGATCTCTGGCAGGTGGACATCCTCTGAGGGATCCTGGTCTGTGAGATGACACAGGCCAGGTGAGGGACCTCACCCCAACCCCTAGAGTGCAAGAATTTTGTGCACCAGGCCTCTGGTATTCATATAATTATCATACCTTTTTTCTCCTTTCAGTTATAAAAGAAAAATATGCAAATTAACCGTCACTCTGTCACAAAGATGGTGGCACCCATGGCCACAAGATGGTGGTGCTCAGTCCCCTCATTCCCAAAGCTGGAGTGTCTGGGCCTGTTGGCCCAGCCAGGGGTTGTGGGAACCAAGCCACGAGGCTGGAGCCACTACTGGAGGGGTCGTATCCAGCCTCGCCACTCCTCCACTGCTGGAGTGTCCAGGCTCTGTCGGTGACAGCAGGGCATGGGGGCTTTCTTAGCGTGGCAGTGGCAGGGAAGCTCCCACACACGGCAGACAGAGCCCAGACAGTAGGGTTTCCTTAGAGTGGCAGTGGTGGGAATGCACCCAGACCCGGAAGACAGAGCCTGGATAGCAGGGAATGGGGGCTTTCTTAGTGCGTTAGCATCATTGGCAAAGCTCCCAGGCCTGGCAGACAGAGCACACTGTAGGGCATGGGGCTTCCATAGCACAGCAGCGGTGGGAACACTCACAGGCCCGGCAGACAGAACCCGGACAGCAAGACTTGGGGCTTCCTTAGTGTGGCAGTGGTGGGGAAGCCCCAGACACGGCAGACAGAGCCCCGACAGCAGGGCATGAGGGCTTCCTTTAAGTGGCAGCAAAGCTCCAGTCCTTGCAGACAGAGCCCACTCAATAGGGCCTGGGGGCTTCATTCACACACGGGGGCTTCATCTCCATGGCTGCGGCGAAGCCCCCAAGCCCTGCAGAGAGCAGAGAACCATAAGAGTGGGTCTAAGCCATCAGTAGGACATCCCCTGACAGCTCCTGGATCGGAAAGGCTGCAGGTTGGACTGAGGGACCCCTGTGCATGAGTTCCGTGCACCGGGCCTCTAGTATATATTATTGATATTTTACAGAGAGGAAGGAGAGGGATAAGAGTTAGAAACATCGATGAGATCGAAACATTGATCATTTGCTTCCTTCACACCTACCACTGGGGATGTGCCTGCAATCAAGGTACATGCCTTTGACTGGAATTGAACCTGGGACCTTTCAGTCCACAGGCCAACATTCTGTCCACTGAGTCAAACCAATTATGGCATGATGTGTATATTTTAAGTGAAATGAAACATTCTAAGTTTTGTAAATCACACTATAACTTAAATGTGGGGCCTTTGGTTTTCATCTAATAGCCATGAAAATTATGAGAACTTGCAAATAGAAAATATGTCATACACTTTTTGAAAATAAATTCATGCTTTTACTCAAAAAACATTTAGCATCTGCTTTGTCTCAAGGATACACTATGACACGGGCCTGTGATTAGAGTGTTTGTAATAGAGTGGAGAATTTGAACATTAAAGTATGTCATGTAATAATATTAAGTGCTTAGGTTATTAAGGTGCCTCTACTACCTATCTGTGTGACCTTGAGCAGGTTACTCTATTTTATCATCTACAAAATGTAAATATTCATTGCTTACCTTATAAAGTATTTTGTGTTTTGTTTTGTTTTTTATAGTAAAAGTATTAACTGCCACCCCCCAAAAAAAACACACAAAAACAAAAACAAAAATCTAAAATGTGGTGAGCATGCCAGGTAATTTTATCAAATGGTAGCATCAGTAAATAAGTAACTGGTATTGTTTAGTGAATGTTGTAATGAGGGAGAGATTGGGTTTATCTAAACTAATCAGAAGAGACATTTGCATTGATACCTATATATATAAATAGGTGGTAGATGAAAACTTTAAATCCCCTTTAAATAACTAAAATATTAATGCTTTTTTAAAAGAAGAAAATAAGGATGAATATTCCATTTGCTTAATAGATCCCTGCAGAATATGGAGAAATTGATAAGGATAAGCTTGCTCGACAACTGCAGCTTTATAAATTGCGCTATCAGTGTGAAGTAAGTACTTTTGCCATTATATTTGAGGCAAATCCAAGGTAATTCAAATGTTCAACTAAATGATATCTTCTTTTCTAAAAAACCCAATTTTTTTTTTTCTTTCAATGTCTGGTGACTTGAGCAGAATTAACTGAAATTTTATTTTACTTTGAGCAGGGCTTTGAGAAACAGTTGAAAAGATTGACATTGCGGTGGCAAGAAAACCAAATAGAGGTTACGAGGAGAGATCAAATCATTGCATCTCTTAATCAACAAATGGCTTTTGGAATCAATCAGATTTCCAAGTAAGTATAAATCCTTTTAAAACACAATTCTGGGTTTGCTCCATAGTGAATGCTATCTTGAAAAGATGATCCATAGGTGCCCACTAGGTGGCATTGTGACTCCATTATAAGGAACTGCCAACCACAGGACTGTACTTGCTTAAAAATCATTTCTATTTTTGCCTTGCCAGCTAAATGGAGCAACTGCTCCCTCTATATGTATATAGCTTTTCATGTATTAGATGAACAAGTGTGAAGATACTATAATTTCATGAGGAAGATAATTCACTTTCAAATCATGATTCTAGTTTCTTGGCCTTTTCTTTATAGTTTATGATAAATATATTCCTCATGACATCATGGAGTCAGTTGTATGTTTTTATGTTGGTCCTCAGAGTGTTTGTGTTCTAAGACCAAGAGAGCTGGAGACTCTTCTCAACTGCATCAATTTCATTTCTTTCATAACTTTAAAGATTACATGCCTAAGACTAAAAATTTTGATGTAATAGGAAAAAACAAGTGTCTTAGTTTATTTTTTCTAATAACCACTGCCTCCAATGATTATTAGTTGAAAGAATAATATAATTTGTAACAAATTATTTTAATGAGCAGTAGTGACATAAGATACCAGTCATCTAAGAAGTCTAATTTATTTTTAAATATATTTTTTATTGATTTCAGAGAGAAAGTGAAAGGGAGAGAGAGAAATACCATTGATGAGAGAGAATCATGGAGTAGCTGCTTTCTGCATGCCCCACACCAGAGATCAACCTGGGCATGTGCCCTGACCGGGAATCGAACTTGACCTCCTGGTTCATGAGTTGATGCTCAATGACCCAGTCATGCTGGCCAGTCCAGGAAATCTAATTTGAAATCCTTTGCAATTCCTAGACTGCTAATAAGGAGAAAAGGTAATTTTTAGGAAATAATCTTGTAGTGAGGAGTCCAAAATACTAATTGTAAAATTAGAGAAATAATTGACAGAAATTTAGGATTTAAATTTTTCCTTATATATCATATCATCCATCCTGAAGATATTTTTAAGAATTTATTGCTTTAACTCTGGCAACTTCATATCAGTTGAAAATACTTTCAGGCCTGTTCCTGCAGGAATTAGAGAGATCCTTCAAGTTTACAAGGAGGTGAGTAAACTAAGATAGCATGGGCAAACTAAGCACTGCATTCACTTAAGAAGGATTCAAAACTTTGTCTTTTAGCCTGAAAGATAATGACCAATCCAGAAATATGTTACATAATACCAGAGATTAGCAATATCAAGCCATGCTTGCAGATGAATTTCCTTTCTCCTTCCTAATTTGAGGATATCCCTTCTCAACTCTGATAGCTGACCCGGGCATCCTTATATGCTCGAAACTGCAAACAGATCACTTTAGGGGATACATATATGTTCACTAAATAAGCATTCAGTGTTAAACATTCTCTAAACATTTAAGTTCTGTGAGAAGAATTATGTAAGACATATGTAGAGACTACCAAGACATGTTAGATACTAACTGTTGGCTAATAGAGAATATAGGTAGATCACATAGGGCCGTGGTCTGCAAACTGCAGCTCGCGAGCCACATGCGGCTCTTTGGCCCCTTGAGTGTGGCTTTTCCACAAAATACCATGGCCTGGGTGAGTCTATTTTGAGGAAGTGGCATTAGAATAAGTTTAAGTTTAAAAAATTTGGCTCTCAAAAGAAATTTCAATCATTGTACTGTTGATATTTGGCACTGTTGACTAATGAGTGTGTCGACCACTGACATAGGGGGTTAAAGTTACATATAACAGAGGGATTTCCAGTTTCACCATAGTAGCTCCATTACTTGTAAGTCCTCCATCTTTAAAATTAAAACACCCTGGACCTAAAAAAAACAAACAGAAAGATTCTGAGAAGTGGAAGAAGAAAACAGACAGTTTGGAGACCTTGGACTTGAGGAATGATACAAGCAGTGATTTGCCTTATTGCCTCCTATATATCTTAGACAAGGTGCTGCAGAAACTTCTAACTGCCAATAGGCGTAGGGTGAAAAATTCCAAGGAAAATCTGTTGCCTCTAGCCAAAGGAACAGGAAAAGGAAAATATAACAACTAAAAACCTTCTTGGCAATACCCATCTACTCCAGCCAAACACCAGCAGCCCCACACCTTTCCTTGGAAGCAGATAGTATGCTCTGACAAAAGCAGATGGCAGGAATCGGATCATACAGGGCCATGGTCGGCAAACTGCGGCTCACAGTTTGATTCCTCTGCTGGGGTAGCAGTGCTGAGCAGGCAGTTGATCTTGCATTCTCCACCAGGAGGGAGCAGGTAGTGCTCATTTCCTCTCTCAGGATAGCATCAATGTCGTCCAGCTATGAACTGAACCTCTACCTTTACCTAACATCTGTGGACTTAACAAACTAGTTTGAGGTAGGACTAGTCAATGGTAGGTTTTATCCCTACTTTCCCTATGGGGAGCTGAGTCTCCACCACTGGTGTGAGTCTCCACCACTCCTTTAGCCCCCTCTCCCCAGTTAGTCCCAGAGCTCCTGCCTCTCTCCATCAAAGCAATGTGAATCGGCCCTTCTACACTTCACTTGAAATAGGAAAAGATCAATAGCAGTAGGCCATTTGTGCATATTATAATACTTAGTGCGACAACTAAGAAAGCTACATAGAGATGGAATCTTTAAAAAATGTTCATATAACCAATAAGAAGGTAAGAAAACAGAAACAGGAAACAAACAGAAAACCAATAATAAAATGGCAGATCTAATTACTAACATATCAATAATTACCTTAAATGTACTAGTAAATGGTCTAAATACACCAATTTAAAGATAGATACTGGCAGAGTGGATTTTAAAAATATAACAAAAAATGTGATATAATAATACACTATTTACAAGAAACTTCAGTTTCAACATAGGTAGGTTGAAAGTATAAAGACATAAAAGAAACATTATGTAAATAAAAACAAAAACAAAAAAAAACAAATAAGCAGGAGTGTCTATATTAATATACTAGAGGCCCAGCGCACAAAATTGTGCACAAATAGGCCCTTATGCCTAGCCTGCAATCAGGGCTATGTTCAACGCCCCCTGATGCCCTGCAATGCCCCATGATACTAGCTGCTGCTGCCAACCTACAACGATCCACAATGCTTGCTCACCTCTGCCACCCCATGGTGCTCTACGAAGCTCCTCGTTCCGTGATGCTCGCCTCTGCCACCCCACAGTGCTCCACGGAGCTCTCTGCCCCATGAAGCTCACCTCTGCCACCCCATGACGCTCCGTGAAGCTCACACATCACTCCGTGATGCTCCTTACAACACTCTGACTCTTCTTGCCACTGCCCCACATCACTCCGTGATGCTCCCCACTGTTTGATGCTTTGCAATGCTCCTCAATGCTCCCCGCCCCACAAAGTTCTACGACACTCTGGCCCTGCAGTGCTTGCCCCCACTGTCCTGTGATGTTCACTGATGGATGTTCACCATCCACCACTGCTCCACAGTTCCCCACTCCTGCCCCATTTCCACCCCCCAGGGGAGGGACTGAGAGGTGATCAATGCACCTCATAGTGACTGGCCAATGGTCATGATCATGATGCTGTTTAGTTGCTGGCCTTTATTATATAGGACTAGAGACCCAGTGCATGAAATTTGTGCACTTGGAGGGAGGGGAGGTATCCCTCAGCATAGCCTGTGCCCTCTGACAGTCTGAGATCCCACGATTCATCATCACCCCAAAGAAGTAGGCCCCGCCCACTTGCTTTAGCCTGCCAGTTGTTCACCTGGGCCTCCCTCTTTGGGCTGATCATGGAGCCCCCTGATTGATTGATCACCCTGACGGTCTCCCTCGGCAGGGTGATCATGGGGCCATGGCTGGGCCCCTCAGCTGGCCTGGTGCCAGTGGGTGTTATAGCGTGGTCATCTAGATTGTTGTCCTGCTGTTTGGTCGTTCAGCCAATTTGTATATTACACTTTTATTATTATAGATGATAAAATGGGCATAAGAACAATGTAAACTACTGGAGACAAAGAGGGACATTACTGATGATAAAAGGATCAATCCACCAGAAAGGCACCAAAACAAAATTGTGTGTACCAAAAACAGAGCCTTAAAATATATGAAGCAAAGCCTAATAGAACTGAAAGAAATATAAAAAATGTACAATTTTAGTTGGTGACTTCAACACCCTACTCATCAATTTATAGAACTACTAAATAGAAAATCAACAAGGATATAAACCACCTCTATAATATCATCAACTAACAGGATCTGTTCAATATTTATGGAACAATTCACCAGATAACAGCAGAATACTTATGCTTTCCAGTGTCCACAAGAAATACATGGAAATAGATGATATCCAGTGAATTTGAAATAATTGAAATTATGCAAAGCATACACTCAGATCACATGGACTCAAACTAGAAAACAATAATGCTAAGATAACAGGAAAATTTCTAAACACTTGGAAACTACATAACATATACCTAATTATCCAAAGGGAAATAAAATACATTGAACTGAATTAACATGAAAATACAATATGTCAAAATCTCTGGGACACAGCTAAAGCAATTCTGAGAAAAAGTCTCAAATGAATAATATAAGCTCCTACCTCAAGAAAAAAAAAAAAGCAAGAAAAGTAACCCAAAATAAGCAGTGTGAAATAATACAGATTAGAAACAAACAAAACCAAAAAACTAGAGAAAAAAATCCATGAAACTAAGGTGTTCCTTTGAAAATATCAATAAAATTAGCAAACTTCTAGCAAACTGACCAAAAGGGAAGACACAAACAGCACCATCAGGAACAAAGTAGTGATATCTCTAAATATACTATATACATCAGAGAACTTTGCTGAATAAAAAATCCCAACCCCAAAGCTTAAATACTATGATTCCATTTCTATTATATTTTTTAAATGACAAAATTTCAAAAATGATAAAAATGAAAAACAGATTAGTGGTTTCAAGATTATAAGGAGGAGATGGAAGTGGAAGGGAATTGGATATGGCTATAAAGGCAAAATGAGGAATCCTTGTTGTGACAAAACTCAGTATCTTGAACTGGATCACTGTCAGCATCCTAGTTATTGTACTGACATTTTGCAGGATATCATTGCAGGGAAGATGGGTAAATGGTATCTGGGTTCTGACTGTATCATTTTTTTATACCTGAAAGTAGATCTATGATTATATCAAAGATGTTAAATTTTTAAAAAGCACATAACTGTCAAATAGAGCTATATTTTTTAGGGATTTTGTTATGATAAGAAAGAACTTTATTGAAGACATAATATTGAACCTAGGCTAGGTAAGATGAGATGGGAGAAAAGACAGAGGGCATCTAGGGGGGGGGAGATATGAGCCCTGTGTTCTCATATAAATTTTTGAGCCTATTTTGTTTAACTTTAATCATATCCCAAGAATATGTGATTAAAAATATAAATTATCTTTAATTGTAGAATGTTTATTTCTTCCCTCTTATGATGTAGTATTTAGTGGGAAGCAAAAAATAAACCTTTTTTTCTTTGGCCTAAATCAATGCCAATCCTACAATAAATGTTTGATAAATATTTATTGATGATGATTGCAATTTTAACAAAGTTTTACAGAAAAGTGACATTTTGTACAAATTGCAATAAGCACTTAAATAAGTGTTAAGAATCTACTGTCAATAAAGTCTATATAATAAACTTAATAACCAGCCAGAATAAGCTTGAGAACTTGAGATCTTTTAGAAAAGAAAATCTAATTCTACCCTATCATATAATTCATGAGAAAAATGGGACTGAGAAGTTATGACTGCCAAGGCATATATAGGTGGTTCATGTATTCCCTAGCAGCTCTGTCAACTCTTATCACCCACTGTAAACTGGAACTGGGTAAAATATTGAAATTATGGATGAATCAAAGGAAAGGAAGATGCCAGTTTTAGAAATCTTATTACTTCCCAACTCTCTCTATTCTCCTGTAAACTACCTAATAAAAGAGTAATGTGTAAATTAACCGCCACTCCAATACACACACCAGCCAATCAGAGCGAGTATGGCTACGCCCACAGAGAGCAGGAGGGAGGCTTGGGTTTCCCATACAAGTTTTCCGCCTGCCCTAGCTGGCCTAAGCCTCCACTCAAGGCTACAAAGTTTCAATTATAGAAGGTAAACAAATCCAAGCAGAAATGGCGGCAGCCACAGAGTGAGCAGGAGGCTTGGCTCTGCTCCAGGCTATAAAGTTTCAATTGTAAAAGATAAATATATTCCAGATACCAGGGCCTTTGCTTGGGTCGACAGGGGGCATGGCTGGCCTGAAAACCACCACAGGCCCCTCACTCAGGTTGCCCTATGCCCCAAGGGAACCCCCTATTCTGATCTGGGACACCCTTCAGGGCAAACCAGCTGGCCCCCATCCATGCACCAGGTCTCTATCCTATCTAATTAAAGAATAATATGCAGATTGACAATCATTCCAACACACAAGATGGCTGCCCCCATGTGATCAAAGATCCTGCCCCCATGTGGACACAAGATGGCCACCACAAGGTGGCCAGCAGGGGAGGGCAGTTGGGAGGCACCAGGCCTGCAAGGAAGGGCAGTTGAAGGCTATCAACCCTGCATGTGAGGGCAGTTAGGGGTGAACAGGCTGACAGACGAGGGAAGTTGGGGCAAACAGGCTGGCAGGGGAGAGTTAGACATCAATCAGGCTGGCATGGGAATGGTTAGGGGGTGATCAGGATGGCAGGCAGAAGCGGTTAGGGGCAATCAGGAAGGCAGGCAGGCGAGCATTTGGGAACCAGCAGTCCTGGATTGTGAGAGGGATGTACCACTGCCCATTTAGGCCCAATCCCTCTGGGGTCCCTTGAGGGGTTCCAGATTGGAGAGGGTGCAGGCTGGGCTGAGGGACACCACCCTCCAGCCCCGTGCATGAATTTTGTGCATTGGGTCTCTAGTATTACAATAGCAAAGCTTGTGTTTCTTATTATTTACATCAGAACATGACTTCTTGTGTAAAAAGAGATCTGGTTTCTTTCATTATATTTTCAGTCCGATAGAACATTGAATATAAGTCTCTGAAATCAAGTAGTGAATATTCTAGCCAACATTTAAAGTTATTGTTTTAAGGCTTTACTATTCCAATAACTTTTATTAACCAATATGCCTATGTATCTCAAATGTCTCAGCATAGCCCTAACTGGCTTGGCTCAGTGGAAAGAGCATCAGCCTGTGGACTGAAATGTCCCTATTCGATTCCAGTCAAGGGCTTGTATCTTGGTTGTGGGCACATCCCCTGTGGGAGGTGTGCAGGAGGCAGCTGATAGATGTTTCTAACTCTCTATCCTTCTCCCTTTCTCTCTGTAAAAAAATCAATAAAATATATAAAAGAATGTCTCAGCATATTAGAAACTTAAAAAGAATATATTTTGCTATAAGTCTATTTATATTGAAGCAGATTAACAGGGCAATGTAAAAGCTTGGTTGTAAAGAGAAATACAGCAGTAGCACAAAGGAGGAACATAAAAAATAGGATGTGAATATATGTTAACCAAAAAGTATTACTTTGCATTTTTCTTAATAATTTCTTGCATATGAATTTTAAACTAATCACAGAATATGTTTTCTGATTTATACAAAAATTTTATCCAGACTTCCCATGATTAGGTTATATGAGTGATTCCTAATTTTAATTCATAGTCTTTATTAAAATTCTTACTTGAATATAGCTTTATTCTATATTAAAGGTCTGGTTTCTTTCAGACTGTAAGTCTTCAATAGTTTGCATTACTTGATATAATATCTCTTTAAGGAATTTAAAGTTCTCAATCCTACAACAGTCCTAGGACATCAGAAGTTACCATATCTGTTTTCCAGTAGGTAAACTGAAATACAAAGAACTAAAGAAATTTTTCTGAATCACTGAGCTGAGAATACAAAATAAAATAATTCTTGTAGCTGGCTTTATATTTTACAGGTTAGTTAAAACTAATGAGTTAGAACTTAGTTCTTGCTTTGTGAAGTCAGTAAATCAGACATCAGAAATAAGATAAATTTCAGAAGTGCTAGGTATCAGAGTTTAGTTATTTTCAGACTCAATAATTTGGCCCAAAATGGACATACTTAATCCCTCCTCATCTAAAATAATTTCTAACATTTTATGACTTTTTTTCTTTGCTTAGATTACAGCGGCAAAACCATGCCAAAGATAATGAGATCAAGAACCTTAAAGAGCAACTTTCCATGAAAAGGTACAAACAGCTGTTGATTTGATTGAGTGCACCCTTTCTGAAACTGTGATTTCACTCAGCATATTCTGGCTACGGCAGCCATATAATTTATCGTCCAAACTGGGGCACTATGAGCCTGAAATTGAGCAATATTCATAATTACACTGAGACAACAGGTATAAACTAGAAGTGTCCTAGACAAATTGGAAGGTTATGTTCACTTTAGCTTTGGCCTTAGAAAACTGCTAAGAATAAATCAGCTTAATTATTGTCTCACAACACATTGTTGTCAGGGACTAGAGCTTATTGAATTCTTTTTTTTTTTTTTAATATGTTTTATTGATTTTTTGCAGAGAGGAAAAGAGAGGGATAGAGAGTTAGAAACATCAATGAGAGAGAATCATCAATCAGCTGCCTCTTGCACACCCCCTACTGGGGATGTGCCCACAACCAAGGTACATACCCTTGACCGGAATCGAACCCGGGACCTTTCAGTCTGCAGGCCGATGCTCTATCCACTGAGCCAGACCGGTTTTGGTGCTTATTGAATTCTTATATCTTTACCCTAATCAGTAAAACTGGGTATGACTGCTTTATGAAACTGACTTAACTTTTGTTCTCATTCATAGATTTGCCTGCCGGTATTTTTTTTTAATTTAATAAATCATTATTGTTCAGATTATTACAATTGTTACCCCCCCCCCCCCCCCACATAGCTCACCTCCACCCGGTTCCCACCTCACCCTCTGCCCTTATCTCCCCTGATTGTCCTTATCCATGGGTGTATGATTTTTGTCCAGTCTTTCCACACCCTCTATCCCCCTTTCCCCCTGAGAATTTTCAGTCCACTCCCATTCTATTCCCCTGGTTCTATTCACCATTTTATTATGTTCATCAGATTTTTAATTCACTTGATTTTTAGATTCGCTTGTTGATAGATATGTATTTGTTGTTCATAATTTTTATCTTTACCTTTTTCTTCTCCCTCTTCTTAAAGAATACCTTTCAGCATTTCATATAATACTGGTTTGGTATTGATGAACTCTTTAGCTTTTTCTTATCTGTTAAGCTCTTTATCTGACTTTCCATTCTGAATGATAGCTTTGCTGGGTAGAGTAATCTTGGTTGTAGGTTCTTGCTAGTCATCACAAAGTCTCAGGGCTGAGCAATCAGTATTGGCTTCCCATCAGCCCTGTCATTGTGCTCACACCTCCAGACCTCTGCCTTCTACGGATCCCCTGAGTTTCTGCCTGACAGTCCTGATTCCCCCTTTAAGAGCGTGGTTCCCCCAGGGGCTCTCCCGGAACTGACTTTCAGTGCAGTCAGAACTGGGATTCAGTGCAGTCAGGTGCTTCCAACTCCTTCCGCTAAGGAAAGCCTGTGGCAACCTCCGCAGTCAGACCTTTCTGGGTACACTTGCACGCACAAGCCTCCAGACCCCACTGTGGCTTGCCCTACTCTGAGTCTCTGTGTGCCTTTCTCTACAGTCCAGACTCCACCTGTATGAGCCTGAGTCCACAGGGTTTCGGCCGGAGCTGGGGTTCAGTGCAGTTGGAACTGGGGGTCAGTGCAATTGGGGCCTTCCTTTTCCCTCCTGCCAGCCAGGCACTTCCTGTATGCCAACATCTCCATACCTCAGCGCTTTCGGTTCCTTGATTCATGAGCTTTTCTTTTTTCTTCTAGTTGTAGAATTTCCACTCAGCCAGCTTTCCTGAGGTTTTGGATAATGTCCATTCTGTCTTTTAGTTATTTTGAAATTGTTGTGCAAGGCAGCAGTTTAGGTGCTTACCTAGGCTGCCATCTTAGTTTCTCATCCTTTGACCATTTTAAAAATTCATTTGATTGTGTTTTTACTGTAGTTATAATTTTTCGTTATGTTCTCGATACAAGACCCTTATCAGATATTTGCAAATATTTTCCTCCATTCTATTGGTTGTCTTTTCACTTTTTTTTGTTGTTTTTGTTAATCTTCACTCAAGAATATTTTTCTACTGATTTTTAGAGAGTGGAAAGGATGGAGAGAGACACACACACACACCCACAGAAACCTCGTGTGAGAGAGCCACATTGATTGTTGCCTCTCACATGCCTGGAGATAAAACCTGCAACCAAGGTACATACTTTGATTAGAATTGAACCCGAGACCCTTCAATCTGTAGGTCAATGCTCTATCCACTGAGCCAAATTGGCTAGGATTCTTTTCACTTTTTTGAAGTATAAAAGTTTTTAATTTAATGAAGTCCAATTTATCTATTTTTTGACTATTCTTGTAGGCAAGTTTTTAATAATATTCTATGGCATAATAATTCTCTTGTACATTTCATGATTCACCCCCCACCTCAAAACACTTTCGCCTTAATGTTATTAATAATATATTGATTTATCAAGCTTCTTTATCAATCATTTCATGATTCCCCCCCACCTTAAAACACTTTCGCCTTAATGGTATTAATAATATATTGGTTTGTCAGGTACTGAAGTATCCAGATGATTCTAATAATAAAACATTGAGGATTGTGCTTGTGAACATTCCCTATTACCATGTTTTATTTCCAATTAATTGTTTCCATTTAAGACATTGGTTTGTATTGCTTTAGAGTTCTGGGGATAAAGCTGAAATGAGATAAGAAAAAGAGAAACATTTTTCCATAATATCCTTGATAAATATTTATAAATAATGTCATATCAACATCTCCCTTCCTCTTAAACTGTAGGATTTGTTTTCATTCTGAGACGCTGAACATAATAATATTAAAATATTTTCATGCAGTGACCTAGTTTTGTGACACAGAAAATAAAATGTCCACAGTTGCTATTACTAGGATAAAAAGGCTTATATAAAGAAACTTTAGGTCAAATTTATTAATTATGATAATACCTGACATTTATTTAGTACTTATTATGTGCCAAACGCAAAGTACTTTATGTATATTATCTGAATTAATTTTCACTATAGCTCTTTGAGGTAAGTAATACAATTTCCTCCACTTTTATATGTGAGAAAACTGAGATACAAGAAAGGTCAGTAACTTGCCCAGGGTTTCACATTTAATAGACTGTGGAACTGAATTCATCCTCAGACAACTTAATTTGAGAGCCAAGTTTTAAATCATTATCTCTATATTTACAACTTTAAAACTTCTACACTCTAGATAGTAAAGGATAACAAAAAGGCTTAAGTACTGTCTTCTCCTGCTTTTATATGCTGTATACTTTTCAAGAAATCATTAACTACTCAGTGAGTAGCTTGTTATCTTCTTCTTGAATAAGATAGAAAAGTTTGTTCTTGCTTCAATGTTTCTGACTCTTTAATGATCATGTATTTCAGATCTCAGTGGGAAACGGAGAAGCTTAATATGGAAAGCACAATTAAAACATACTTACGCAAACTGAATGCAGAAACTAGTAGAGCTTTAACAGCTGAGGTGAGAGGTGGGGGAAGGAGGGAGGGTTGAGGAAGCAAGTTTACTTTTGTCCTAATATACTAAGGAATGTGGTGGGTTTTTTTTTTTTTTTTAACTGTTTTGTAAAGAGAAATAAGGCATTTTAGAACCAGTTTGAAAAAATCAGCTTCAACCTTTGTGTTTTTTTGACTCATTGGCATTTTGTATGTGATTACTACAGTGTTATGATCTTATGTTGTTTTTCTCAAATGAATCCAAGAAATTGGTTTGCTTCAATATATTAATATATAGCAAATGCAGCCATCATGGGAAAATTTTCATGAAGCCAGGACACCAAGCCAAATTTTGAAGAATAATATTTCACTGCTGCCATAATCTCTCTCCCTTCTTTGCTTCTTACATAAATCTGCCAAATGCACATATACATCATACACTCCAATGTAAAAATACCAGCTTACCTTCTGAACCCAGAAAGTTACCCAGTTTCTTCTAGATTAACTTAGAATCTTACAGCTAGGTTCTCTTTATCAAAACAAACAAAAATGATTCCATATATGTATATAATTTTTGTTTATAGATAACCAAACATGATATACAATAAGATTCAAGTTTTGGGAAAGTTCACTGACATTAAAATCATTACAGATCTCCCAAGCTCCATTCTTTAGCAGAGTTCTTAGAAATACAGAGGTCAACAATTGAGGAGTGATATATGAACCAAAAATATTCTGAAGAGTTAAACTTTTGGAGTGCTAGCTTTAATGAAAAATAAAAAACTCAGAATACCTTAAGTGCTCACGTTTTCATTTGTTTTTCACTATTTTAAGTGAGGAAGTCTTAATTCCATAAATGTAGAAACACTTAATGCTGTCGAAGAGAATAATAAGCTATTGTCAATAATGGTACAGAAGGGCCGAAACTGGTTTGGCTCAGTGGCAGAGCGTCAGTCTGCGGACTGAAAGGTCCCAAGTTCGATTCCGGTCAGGAGCATGTACATTGGTTGCGGGCACATCCCCAGTTGGGGGTGTGCCAGAGGCAGCTGGCCGATGTTTCTCTCTCATCGACGTTTCTAGCTATCTCTCTCCCTTCCTCTCTGTAAAAAAATAAAGAAAGAAAGAAAAAATATAAATATGTTAAAATAAATAAATAAATAATGGTACAGAAGGGATTCTTGCTATGGGATGGGACTAGATGGTCCTATAGAGTCTGATTATTTCCTTATCAGTTAGAAAACAAACATCAGGGATTATTTTGAGTTTTCGTTTTCTTAACTCAATATCCAGACTACATCTAGTATAACTTAAATTAGAATCTCTGGGACTACCATCATTTTTTAAAAAGTTGGCTTAAAAACTTTTGACATAGTTCCAGTGTATGTGCAGGTTTAAAAACTAATCTTCTGGAATGTTTACAAACCCATTAACCATTGAATAAAAAAATTAGAATTGCAGAATTGATCAAAAACCTTTTATAATGTATTATTGATGGTCAAGAAACTCGGGTACTGTTGGAAGATATTGAAAAATTGCTTAAAATTTACATGAAATGATTGAGAAAAGAATGTGTTTATTTACAAGGACACCTTCAATTTATTTTTCTCTCAAAAATCTGCAGGTGTATTTCTTACAGTGTCGTAGAGATTTTGGTTTGCTTCATCTAGAGCAGACTGAAAAGGAATGCCTCAGTCATCTTGCCAGGGTGACTCAGATGGCAGCAAGGTAACCTTTCCCTCTTCCTTAATTTATCTTGATCTCAGAGATACTTGCAAGTAGTTCCAAGGTTGAACATAATTTGTGATGTATCCTATATAATAAAAGCCTGATATGCTAAGTGTTCAGTCATCCATTCAACCAATCAAAGTGTAATATGCTAATGATATGCTAAGACTGCTTAACTGCTCACTATGATGTGTGCTGACCACCAGGGGGCAGACGCTCCAACTGGTAAGTTAGTTTGCTGCTGGTGTCTGGCGGATCGGGACTGAGTGAGATTGGTCAGACATGCCCTGATGCCCTCCTATGGTCCCTCTCTGGCTGGCCAACCTCCCTTCTTTCTCCTGGCCCTAATTGTGCACCTTTGGGGTCTTTTGGACTGGCCTGCACCCTATCGGGGGATGTCGGAGAGTTGGTTTCAGCCCAATCCCACTGGCCAGGCTGAGTATAGGAATTAGTGCACCAGGAACTAGTACAGAAATTAGTGCACCAGGCCTCTCATTTTAAATAAATGACATTAGAGTTTTTGGAATGAAGAAGCTCTTTTATCCTCAAAGAGCTTTTATCCTCACTTGGATGCTTTTATTTTGTTGCTTCTACTGAAGTACTGAGAAGCTTACTGAATGCAATAATAGCTTCTGAGATTTTTTTCCCTTCCTCTGCAGTCAAATAGATGAAAAATTTCAGTCAGACAATGAAGACCAGATATTTACAAACAAAGGTGGATTCTAAGTGGAAATTTTTTCTAATTGTTTTCTTTTCAAAGGCTTGTTTTTTAAATACCTACAGAGTACATTGGGGGAGGAGAAATCAGTGTTATCTAAAATCACATGTTAAAGGCAATTTCCTGCTGTGCTTTATATGAGTGATTTTCAGATATTGGGCAGATTGAGATTCTCCTTAAATTTATAATTTTATGAGGTATAAATTCAAACTTAATTAGAATCTTTGAAACCAAAGTATCAATATTATTATTATTTTTAATCATCACCTGAGGAAATGTTTATTGATTTTAGAGAGGAAGGGTGGGGGAAGGAGAGAGAAACATTGATTGACAGTTTTATGCGCCCTGACCAGGGATCAATCCCACATCTTTTTTGGTGCATGGGATGACGCTCCAACCAACTGAACCACCTGGCTGGGGCACGTCATCATATTTTTAAATGATTATTTTAATGGTCATCACTGTTTATTTCTAAAAATTATAATCTCTGAGGCTTAACAAGGTTTCCAAGATATACTGATGTGCAGTCAGGTCAGGAAAACACTACTTTAAGTAATCAGTCTCTGCTTGCTAGTGGGAGAAAAATGCTTGGTAAATAATAATAACATTAGCAAGCCTCTGTGTATGATCCTAATAATAGTTTGTTCTGTTCTTTTAAAGTTGTTGTACTGGGTGATACTGGGCTGTAGATGTTTTAACAGTCTCTTGAAGTCTCTCTTCTGTAGAGAGCAGACCCTAAACACCACCATGCTATTCCTACTTAAGTCATTTGGTGGATATGTTTGGCAGAGCTGCTGTGTTTGGGCAGTTATGCACTGCATAGAAGAAACAATGTAATTTATCCTTGCACAAGAGATACTTCTTTCTCATTTGCCTCTCATATGGAGTTTTTTTGTTTGTCTGTTTGTTTATTTGTTTTTAATTTGCAAAAGAGCCTGGTAAGCCAACAATGGCCTTGTGATATTAGTGTTCACGTGGAGAACATCCAAAACCTGCTTCCAAGATGAGAGTATTCTCAATATCAGATGATTAGGGCAATTTTCTTTCTTTTGTTTTTACTGCCTTCATACTTTGCAGAATTCCTATGTAAAGGTTTTATAATATGTCTAAAAATATTGCCACACTACAAAACAACAAACAAACAAACAAACAACCTTGCTTTGCTGAAGAAGTTATATTTTCTCTTGGGGGAAAAAACACACATATGTTTCTAGTCCTTGTTTTTAATTTTAATACAACTTTGTACCCATTTGAGATAAGTGTTGGTAATAGAGATAACTTGGTTGTTTTACATTATTTACATATATGCTAGAGAACATAATGGAAAATTTTGGAAACCTAATTCTTATATAAAAAGGAAGAACTTCCTCTTGTGTCTCCTTGTCTACACCAGCAACCCAGAATCGCTTCACTTAAAGGCTGCAGTAGACAGTTGGAATGCCATTGTGACAGATGTCAGGAACAAGATTGCATTATTTAAGGTAAGTTGTAAAGTATATTTAGAGTAAGTTGACTGAAAGTTATAGGTGATATATGCTTAAATAAAACATTTAACATTAAAAACAATTGCTAGAGAAATTTAAGGAAGAACATAGATTTCATTTCAGGTTCTAAAATTTATGCCTTTTTGAGATTTGAGATATGTTACTTCAACATAATTGTTTGTAGCTAGCAACCAACTTAGTATAGTAAATGAAAAACTCAGTCTTCCTTACAAGTAAGTTTTCTAGAATTTCAAAGCTAACTCTGCTCCAATCAGAAATAAATGCCTATCTTGGTTTTAGTAATTGTGTGTTTATAGAATTAAAAGGAAGATCAATGCCCTAGCTGGTTTGGCTCAGTGGATTGAGCTTTGGCCTACAGACTGGGACTGAAAGGTCCTGGGTTTGATTCCTGCTGGGGGCACGTGCCTGGTTGCAGACTCAATCTGTGCAGGAGGCAGCTGATCAATGATTCTCTTCTTTTATGTTTCTCTCTCTCCCTCTCTCTCCCTCTCTCTCTCTCTCTCTCTTTCTCTCTCTCTTTCTCTTCCTTTCTGAAACCAATAAAAATATATACTTTTTTAAAGGAAGATAAGCAGACCCCTATTAGTTTTCAATGTTAACTTTTTAGGTAATTATTTCAAATGCAAAATAATGAACTCTTAATTATTAGTTTAATATTATTAGGACTATGATAAAGGTAATGTAAAGAAATAATATAATATTAATTTGGTTTTTGATATTTTTGTTTTTTATATCTTAAAATTTTATATATAATGTTGATTATTTTGTGACTTCACAACATAATCAATGACATTCAATTTTGAAAAGCTGCCTCAAAGCATTAACACTTACCTAGTTTTTTTGGTTGATGGTCTTGACTGTTTTTTTTTTTTTCCTGGATTCTTTAGTATTCAGTCTTTAATATGCTCAACATCTCTGTTGGGTTTATTCAAAGTTCTGGCCTCAAAAGAGGTGCTCCTTGTTCTGTATCCTTGTTTTCTTTCAAGCACATACCAGTATTCTCTATGTGGAAATTTCTAAAAGACTTTCTTTTCCAGCTCTTGGGTTGTTTATAAAATAAAATGTAAAGCAAAACAGGGACAATGCCAATAAAATGTTAAAAAGTATGTTAATCTTCAGGGATTAGTCTTTTGAAAAACCAAAAGAATAAAACAAGGGTGATATGGAACTGGAGAAAGCTAGAGATATAACTTGAGATAAACTAATATAAATATTTGATAAATATCCTCTAAAATTTTTCCTCTAGGTTTTAAAATGATCATTTGCAAGTAATCTAAGTCTTTGTTGCAGATATCCCCCCCCCCATATTTATCAGCCAGTGTGTTATTTTATAAGTTCTCTAATCTTTAGACTCTATTCATTATATATAAGTGGTTCCAAGTTTGGGGCTCAATATTATGGAAACACTGAAGAATTATCTCAGGGATCTATGAATCATGTTTTTTTGTATCTTGTCAATCAACAATTCCTAAAAATACAACTTTACATTCAGGGATGCTGTTCTATAGAACTGTTTTTATGTCAGAAATTATTTACATATTATTTTTTACAGTAGATTGAGAATCACTTTTTTGCTATATTTCAAAAAGCATAAAGTATTTTTATATGCTATTTTTTTAAGTTGACTTTGCTTTAAAATATTGTTTCTCTTTTTCTACTAGACACAATACAATGAACAAATTAACCAGGTCAAGCAAGGATTTGCCTTGAATACCTTGCCTCCAATCCAGCTTCCTCCACCACCACCCAGTCCTGATATACTGGTAAGAAATATGACATTTTGAAAAATTCCCATCTTCATCATGATAAAATGGTAAGGATTATAAAACATTGACTGTGTAGTTTGTTTATTGTGTGTTTAAAATGGATAGGCACATAACGTACATATCATTGGTAATTATGTCCATTTTTGCTATATCATCAGATGATAAAACTAGTTGGCTGGCTCAATTGAGGTCACATACCTATATTGTATCACTGGATATTGGTGGTGCATTTGATACCTAAAGATGTAGTATATTTTCATTCATCTTGTCACTCTCATCTACATCATGGAAGAAAACTGATGAATGCTCAGAATTTCCATTGCTTACCCCTATATGACTGAAACACTTCAGCCTAATACCCTAGCAGACTGACTTTACCCCTCCACTTCTACTTTGGATTTTCTTTCCCTTAAGTTTTATCTTATACCTTTAATAGCAAGGACATCTTCCATTTATGCCCCTTCCCTGCTTGTTGTAGGATCAGTGAGTCTTAATCAGATATACTAATATCTATACTATATAAATGTTATCCTTTGGGGAAACATAGTGCCTTAACCCATGAAGCACATACAGCTTTCCAAAATACCTTTTAGAACAGAATCATTAGGTGATAATTTTTATTATCATAACAGATCTGGGGATAGGAAAAGAAAAAAGGGATAAGATATTTAGGGGCAGATCACTTTTGATGTCAGCACTTCTGCTTGTAGGAGAGCTCTGAAATGTTATTTCAATAAGTCGTTGAATAGATTAAAGAATTTAAAAATTATGTAAATTATTTGTATTTTCACTGTGTTTCAAAAACAAATCCAAAGCTAAAAGTATTGTATGACACACACTCTGGATTTTGTTTAGAAAGATAGTATTGCTTTTTATATTTTGGTCAATCTGCTTTTTATAGGAGTACTATATTATGGACATTATTATTTTTGCCTTTGAGCACCACCATACTCAACTACCCTGAAAAGGAATGTGTTGCATAGATGACAGAAACCCCAAGGATTCACTATAATTCTACAGAAAATTATACATATTGGGCACTGTTCCAATTTAACCCATTATTTCTTATGTGTTTCATTATATTTTTATTTTTGTATCCAGCTATCTAATCCTCAAAGTAGTGTTATATAATAGTTGCCCTCAAAGAGAGCAGGATTGTTAACTTAGTACCCACCATTCATTCATTCTTTAAAACTTTATATTATGAAAATATAAAATATGTATGAAAATAGAATCTACACTAATAAAAGAGGAAAATGCTAATTGACTACCTTTGCTATGCCCACAGCCAATCAGAGCAAGTATGCAAATTAACTCAACAAAAATGGTGTTAATCTACATGGCCTGGGTCCCATGGCCTGGGTCCAGACCCAGGTTGCTCCTAGTCTATAGATCCATGCTTAGGCTCTGAGCAGCAGGGGTCCCAGAACACTCCCTGGCCACTCCGAGTCTATGGGTGCAGGTGCCAACTGGCTAGGGGCGGGGCAAGGTGGGAACATTTCCACATCACCATTGGATGTTCCCACCCTGTCCGCAGCCACTTGTGAATGCTCCAGCACCAAGTGGTGGTTTGGGTCCATGCCCCCAGCTCTGTGCCCATGATGGGGGGCTGGCTGCTGGCCTCTGGGGTGTGAGGATACCCCGGCAGCCACTGCTGCATGCGACCCAGGGGTCCCTGCATGTCCCCCAGCCTGGCGCTCATGGTGGGGCTGGCTACTGGCCTCGAGGGCATTGGATGACCTGGATGTTCTCACCCCCACCCCCAGCGGCTTGCAGGAACTCTGGCACCAAGCAGCAGTTTGCATCTATGCCCCCAGCCCAGCGCCCTTGATAGGAAGATGGTGGCCACCACCGGGTGGCAGGGACAAGCCTCTAACCCAGTGGACACAACCCAGGGACTCCAGAGGAAATACCTTTTAAAAAATATATATATATTTTATTGATTTTTTTTTTAACAGAGAAGAGAGGAGAGGAATAGACAGTGAGAAATATCAATGAGAAACATCAATTAGCTGCCTCCTGCATGCTCCCCACTGTGGATGTGCTTCCAACCAAGGTACATGCCCTTAACAGGAATCAAACCTGGGACCCTTCAGTCTGCAGGCCCACGGTCTATCCACTGAGCCAAACCAATTTGACAGTAAATAGCTTTTCTGACAGCTCATTAGCTAAGCTCCTCTGTAGGCCACCAATTGCAGTGTTCTTGGTAACTTGGGTTATAAGAATCCAAGAAGGTGATCTAGGGTTTTTCCACCACACTCCTGAAGGAAAAAATGAAGGGCTAAGAAATGTCATATCCTTCCCTAGCTGGTTTGGCTCAGTGGATAGAGCCTTGGCATGCTGTCTGCAGGGTCTGGGTTCGACTCTGACCAAAAGCATGTTCCTAGGTTACAGGCTCCTCCCTGGCCGGGCCCCAGATCAGGGCTCATGCAGGAGGCAACCAATCAAAGTGTCCCTCTCACATTGATGTCTCTCTCTGTCTCTCTCTCTCTCTTCTACACTTTCTAAAATTCAATGGAAATATATCCTCAGGTGAGGATAAAACAAAACAAAACAAAACAAAACAAAACAGATACATCTTGAAAATGCCTAAAGAAAGTTGTCATTTTTTCACAGTGAAGGGATTAGAGTCCCCATTGATGAAAATACCTTGGTGGCTACAGTGGTTGGCAGTGGCTGCAGCAGCCTGGTAATGGGGCTGGTGCCTTCCCTTGATCAGCCCAGTCACTTGAAATCCCTCGAGGGGTTCCAGATTGGAGAGGGTGCAGGCTGGGCTGAGGGACACTCCTCTCCCCCACTGTGCACGAGTTTTGTGCACCTGGCCTCCAGTAGTATAATAAGGCTCTGTGAACCCAAGAACCAACTTCAACATTATCAACATTTTGTTAGTCTTGATTCATGTCATCTCTTTCTTTTTCCCCATTGGAATATTTTAAAGTAAACCTTTAAATATCATGAAACATCATCCATATATACTTTAGTATCATTCCTAAAAGATTGAGGATTCATATTATTGGGTATTATCATAACACCATCTAAGAATTGTAAATTACTTTTAACTAGAGGTGAGATGCATGAAATTCGTGCAAGAGTAGGCCGTCCTTCCCCCGGATGCCGGCATCAGCTTCCCTCTGGCACCCGGGACCTAGGCTTTCCTCCAACCGCCAGAACTCGGGATCCGGGCTTCCCTCCAGTCACCAGCAGGCAGGCTTGTCTCCAGCCACAGACAGACACCAAGGACCCCGGCTTCCCTCCAGCCACAGGCAGGCACGCAGGACCCGGACTTCCCTCACAACTCTGGCCTCATCCAAAAGGACATCCAATCTAATTAGCATATTATGCTTTTATTATTATAGATAATATCCAGTTAAATTTTATATTACCCCATTGTCTCAAAATTTATTTTTCTTACCTAGCTTGACAATATTTCCAATTTATTTATAATTGCCCTTACTTTTACAACCCTTATTTTAAAAAATCAATAAGTTCCTCATTAACCTTTTACCTATTGGTTTTAGGATAGTTACTTAAGAGCTATACTGATACTCAATTTTTAATTCAACAAATAGTTGAACTCTTACTTTATGCCTGTACTAGGTTTGGAACATATAGATGCTCAATAAATCTGTCCTCTTCTCTGGTCCAGCCAATAAGGTAGTCATCTTATTGGTAGATGCTAAGAAGAGCTTGCTTTCCACATCTCTGTGGGAAGTGCAGTAACACTCATAAGCATGTCTTCAAGTCATTGCAGACACACATAAGCATGTCTTCAAATCATTGTCCTCAAGACACACCCCACTTTAACTTACTACTGACCTTGGATGGAACTAAACATAAAGTCAGAATTCCATCAGGTGTACAAGGTCTCCAGTACAGAATAGTAAAAGTCATATTATCTGTAGACAACTTTGATTCTTTCGTGGAATTTGAGTGTCAGTATTGCTCATCAATAATAGCAGTACTCACAAAGGAGCTCCTTTGCATAGTTCTATATTATTCCATCTTAAAGATCACCTAATCCAACTCTCTTATAGATTAGTAACTTGATATCCAAGATTATGCAGCTAGATGGAAAAAAAGTGGAAATAGAACTCTGTTTTCTTCTCTCTCTCAATGTTTTTTTTTTTAGTATATTTCACTACCCTCTGCTATTGACTATTCATATACTTAACTAATTTTATGACACCATTATTTCTATTGTGCTTTGTAACTAAATTTTAAATCAGTCTATTCCCCAAACATTGCTCTCTGACTGTACATCATTGCTCATATGAATAGATGTTTTATTTTTTAATGTTTCTATTTTAGATGCAGCAGTTCTTGGGAAGACCCCTTGTGAAAAAACCTTTCTTTAGACCCATACTCACTGTTCCTCAAATGCCTGCCAATTGTCATGGAGTCATCTCTGCACCTGGCCAACCGAGACCCCCCCTGGTACAGAGCACTTCTTGGTGGAATAGATATTAACTAGTTCTTTATCTTGACTGTGAACTTCCAGAATGAATTTCTGTCTTCTCTTTTTTCATTTATGTCATAAATGATGATGATGATGCTAGTGGTGGTGATGATGATAACTGAATGATAATTGAATAAATATGATCATTGTTAAGGACATTACATATTTATTTCATTAACTAATAATAGTTTTGTTTTTGGATATGAAGATGAGTATATTTTCATAGTAGAGAATCTTTACAGTTACTCTTTGCTTCTATAACAGGCACCAATGCCATGTAGATTGATATTTTAATAGATAATTTATATTTAGCATGATTGATGGGTAGGTTGAAAAGCAAAGAAGCCAAGTCACAACAAACTAAATTATGCTATAAGATTAAAGAAAAAGTTTTAACACACACATGTATATATTCAGTAGGACACTATTTATCTCCAAACACAATATAAATAGCATCACCTTGGAACATATTATTCTGTAAAGTTATAAATCTTTCTAGCTATAAATGGCTAGATAAGCCTTATCCTAACCTGAAGACATAATAGATAAATTTAAAGTCAATAGAATTATTAGTTCCTAGAGGCATGGTACATGAAATTCATGCATTGGAGGAGTGTGTCCCTCAGCCCAGCCTGCACCCTCTCCTATCTGGAACTCCTTGGGGGATGTCTGACAGCTGCTCTAAACTGGCAGTCAGACATCCCTCTCACAATGCAGGACTGCTGGCTCACAACTGCTTCCACCTGCCTGCTTGCCTGATCTCCCCTAACCACTCCCATAACAGCCTAATTAACGTCTCACTGCTCCCTTCCTGGCTCTATTGCCCCCAACTGCCCTCCTCTGCCAGCCTGGTAACCCCAAGCTGCCCTCCCCTGCCAGCATAGTCACCCATGACTGCCCTCCCCTGCCAGCCTGATTGCCCCTAACTGCCCTCTCCTGCTGGTCCAATTGCCCCTAAATTCCCTCCCCTGCCAGCCTGGTCACTTTCAACTGCCCTCCTCTGCTGGCCTAGTCACCCCTAACTGCTCTCCTCTGCTGGCCTGATCTCCCACAACTACCCTTCCCTGCCGGCCATCTTGTGGCAGCCATCATTGACCACATGGGAGCAGCCATCTTGTGTGAAGACATGAAGGTTAATTTGCATATCACCTCTTTATTATAATAGGACGATATTGGTTAAGGTAAACATTTTTAATAAAATAAAAATGTTTTCCTAGAACATTATAATACTAGAGGCCCGATGCACAAAGTGCATGCACTTTGGGGGTGTTCCCCACCCTGGCCTGTGCCCTCTCACAGTGCAGGAGCCCTGAAGTTGATCTCCCCAAAGAGATAGGCCCCATCTACCCATCCAGGGCTCCTTGATGGATTGCCCCAAAGAAGTAAGCCAGAGCCAGGGTCCTCCCGCTGGGGCCTGCCCTGCATTGCATGGAGCTGCAGGACCCCTGGCATCACTCTGCAGAGCTGTGGGACCCATCTCTGTGCCACACACACAATGTCAAGTCCCCGCCCACCCACACACGCCCACTGCACATGCAGCCTCCTGGCAATGGATTATTATGGCGTGACTGTGTGATGGCATCATAGCATAAGGGCATGATGACCACATAGGCTTTTATTAGTATAGAAAAGTGTAAAATGCTAATTAGACCAGACATTCTTCTGGTTGTCCTTCCAGATAACCTTCTGGGCAAAGCCGGGGCTGTGAGGGAAGCCCAGGTCCCAGGTACCAAGGAAGCTGGTGCTGGCAGCCAGGGAAAGGAAGACCTACTCTTGCATGAATTTCATGCATCGGGCCTCTAGTGCTAAATATAATTAATGAAAAATTTTTCTAATTTAGATTTTCCAATAAGTATATTCTTGTTAGCTTTTTGTACCTACATATGGCTAACAGTCTTTCTTTGAAATATATAGTCCAAGAAACTCTGCTTATTTTTGTTTAGACTGCCTCTCTATAAACAAATATGTTAATTAAGTACCATATCTTTTTTATCACCATGATTTTACAGTGTTGAATAACAGTGTTCATGTGGTTTGCTCCTGCACCATTCTATAAGGAACTATGGTAAAAGTTTATTGAAAAAAACATTAAATTACTTCAACCTTCTAATAAAATTACTCTTCCTGTCAGGAAAAAGCTTGATACTGAGGCAAACCCAAATTTCTGGGCAGTATTCTCCTTCTCTCATTTACTAGGCTTTGTATGAGTTATACTAATGGCTGTTAGTAGTTAATAGTTTTTGTGAGTAATAACCTTATACTTGAAAATATAGTATAAGAAACTTAGGTAAAAGATTCCATGTTTATAATTATCATAGTAGTCAGAATAATACTCCAAAAATATTCATTTGATATTAATTGGAATCTTAATGGTTCTAATAAGGATATACCATAAAATATGGAAAAAACTTTGTTCTATGGTTTCATGGCTAAGAGGTGTCACTACAATTTTCATTCCACCTTTGTAACATTCATGAGACATTGGGTAGACTTTCTAGTAGTATTCTCATCTTTACTTTGTTTGGAAACTCAATTTTATTATTTTTCTAATTATAAAAGTAGTAAATGCTAATCATAAAACAGCAAATAATATAGAAATACACAAATATATACAAAATCTATAATAATAACGGCATAATATGCTAATTAGGCCGGACAGCCAAATGACCTTCCAGATGAAGCCGAGGCAAGCTGCCAGTTGCAGTTGAAGGGCTAGTGCAAGCCACCGCAACTGCGAGGGCTGAGCCCCTTGCAGGAATTCCGTGCATCAAGTCTCCAGTATATGATAAAGAAATACACAAAACAGAAAGCAAAATTACCCTGTAATGAATCCTAGGAAATAACCACTATTTACAGTTGCTTTATAACTTACAGACCTTTTTCTGTAGCTACAAAAATAAATACCCTATATGTATTTTTGTATTACTGAGACTATTATGTCCCATTTTTAAAATATGGGTAATATAAATAATTAGAAATATTGTTGAGGAAAAAAACTAAAAAGGGTACAAGCATATCAATATTCCTCTTCTTTATTATATTCATTTTCTGAAGTATAGAAACTTGTTGGCATGGAATTACTTCCTAATAATTGAAGCTGATAGTTTATAACTCTATTTTCCTTACAGATGTCTGGCCTAACCTGGACTATGCCAGCTCCTGTGGGAAAGGCTGTGTCTCCTGGTGCAGGTCTGGGAAGTGATCCTCCCATGATGAATTGGGAGAGGATTATAGACAGATTGAAAAATGCTTTTCCACAACAGACCAGGTACCTTAGTTTATATTTACTAATGAGTACAGATCATACTCTACAGTCTGTAGTCATAATTACAGCAATGAAGTATTTCAGAGAAACGTATCACATACACACACACACACACACACACACACACACACACACACACACACACTTCACAGATATTTCCTTACCAGGGCCTTGGTAAGGAAAATGAAATGTATCAAGAAGGGATTGTGTTCGGTATAAATGCTAAACCTCTTCACTGAAGTTATTAGGGATAAGTCATGATGAGATAATGCATTTTTAAATTTAGCTTTGCTCATTAACTGAAAGTGCAACTAGATGTAAACTTATCCAATTTTAATGCCACTGGCTTCAATAATTATCTTAATAACCTATTTCCAATGTGAATTTTAAGTTGATAGTATGCCATATAAACCTAAACTTGATCAGATTTTGCTTTCCTATTTTCTTAATTTCATTGAGGATCCTTATAGTTTCTTTATTAGGCAACAGAGTTAAATGCAAGAAATCATAACTTTACCATTCTTTTCACAGTTCTGACTTTAGTAGAAAGATAATTAATTCTACCCCTCACGAAATGAAGTTTCTTTTTTCTTTACTGTCATATCCAAGGAAATAATTCTAGTGTCACCAGTATTTTTACTTGTATTTAATGCGCATACTGTTATGCTTCAGGAAAGATTATGTTTTTATAAATACTATCATGAATCATTAATCGAATTGTAATATAATTGTGATTATTATACCAAAAATTTATGGGCACACTTTGGGTCAGTGGACCATAAGAATTGAAAAAGAATTTTCATCAATTAAAATATTCCTAGGGTTTTAAAAACATTAGTGTTTTAATATTTGCTTTCCTATTCTGTTTAATATTTATTTACTGTGTCTGAGTTTTACAAAACTAAGACTGTCCAGAGTGATAAGGGAAAGAAAGACCAATATAGTAAAAAAAGGAATATTTAGTCCCAGCAAGAGAGCTTTGAGAGATATAAAGAGTCCAGTACATAAATAAGTAGATAATAGATTTCACACAGTGAGCTTTCATAAAGATATTTTTAATATCTTAAATAACACAGTTAGTATCTTATTAAAACATTAGGGCCTTTCATTATGCTTTAAGGTAAATGCAGATAGACTTGTGATCACTTTTTTAGATCAAAGATCATACATGAGTATTTTATATTTTGTTTAGGGAGCACGTCCTCATCTCAGTAAGGAAAATCACCACTGCTCTTTCCTTTATCTATTCCAGAAAGGAGCTTACAGATTTCTTTCAAAAAGTTAAAGATGCTCATGGGAACTCCTTACCTGTTCTGACATTTGATGACATTGTTTATAAGATTTCTCAATTTATTGACCCCAAGAAATCTCAGGTAAAAAAAAAAAAAAAAGCCTCATATCTCTCTGTCTCTCTGCCCTTTACTATAGTAGTTAGCTGGTTGTTTAAAAAAAAAAAAAAAATATATATATATATATATATATATATATATATATATATATATATATGTAAATTTATATTGTTATTTAGGCATAATTGAAACTTTACAAACTGCACATATTTAAAGTGTACAGTGTGATAAATTTTGACATATTACCATAAAATCATCACTTAAATCAAGAAAATAAGTATATCTATCACCCACAGTAGTTTTCTCATGCCCCTTTATAATGCATCTCTGCTGCCTCTCCCAGTGTTCATTAGAAAAAGCACATTTCTTTTAATATCATCAAGGTCATTTTGGGGGGAGGTACTTTACTGTCATGTAGTTTAAAATAACTTTAATATGTAGTTAAAATCATGAAGGTTGGGAGTCTTGAATTCAAAGTTATTTTTACTTCTCTACATCTCAAACTGAAGTCCTTTTATTTTTGTTTTTGTTTTTAAAGAATAGGTGGCTTAACAATATTATATTAGTTACAGGAGTACATTTAAATATCTTACAAAATGATCACCATCTTAAGCCTAGTAACCATCTGTTACCATACAAAATTATTACAATATTATTGATTATATTTTATATGCTATATATTATATCATCATGACTCACATGTAACTGGAAATTTGCACCTCTAATCTCCTTCACCTATTTGCTCATTTCCCATACTTTCTCCAGCAACCATCAGTTTGTTCTTTTGTATCTATGAATCTTGTTTTGTTTTGTTTGTTTATATTATATTTTATATACCAGATATAAGTGAAATAATATTTGTCTTTATCTGTCAGACTTATTTCACTTAGAAAAACATCCATGTTGTCTCAAATGACAAGATTTAATTCTTTTTTATGACTAATATCCCATTATATGTGTATGTATGTATGTGTGTATACATACACCACATCTTTATTCATTTATCATTCAGTGGACATATAGTTTGCAACTGTATCTTGGCTATTGTAAATAATTTTGCAGTGAACATAGGGGTGCATGTATTTTTTCAAATTAGTGTTTTTGTTTTCTTCCAATAATACCCAGAAGTAGAATTTCTGGACTGGAGATCAGATGATAATTCTATTTTTAATTCTTTGGAGAAACCTTCATACTGTTTTCTGTAGTGGTTGGAGCAGTTAACATTTCCACCAACAGTTCACAAAGGTACCCTTTTCTCTGCATCCTTGCCAACAATTGTTATTTGTTGTCTTTTTTATAAGCAATTTTAACAGGTGTGAGGTGACATCTCATTGTGATTTTGATTATATTTACCTGATGATTAATGATATTGAATATTTTTCCATGTCTGTTGGCCTTTTGTATGTCTTTTTTTGAAAAATGTCTATTTAGGTACCCTGCCTATTTTATTGTTGTTGTTATTGCTGTTGTTATTGTTACCCAATAATATTTTTCCATTAATTTTTTTTAAGAGTGAGTGGAAGGGAGAGAGTGTGGGAGGAAGGATGGTGGGTGGGAGGGGGAAGGAATAGAGAGAGAAAGAGAGAAAGAGAGAGAGGGAGAGAGAGAGAGAGAGAGAAGAGACAGAGAGAGACAGAGAGAGACAGAGAGAGAGAGACATTGATGTGAGAGATATCAATTGGTTGCCTCCTGGACACACCCCACCCCGATTGGGGCCAGGGATCAAACCCACCATACAGCACATACACTTGATCAGGAATTGAACTTATGACCCTTCAGTCCATGGGTTGACACTCTAACATTTAGCCACACTGACCAGGGCACCCTCTCCCTATTTTTAATTGGATTGCTTTTTTGATAGTATATTATATGTGTTCTTTATATATTTTGGATATTAACCCCTTATGAGATATACTATTTGCAAATATCCTCTGCCATTCAGCAGATTATCTTTTTTTTTTAATTGATGTTTTCTTTCACTGTGCTGCAAAAGTTTTTAGTTTGATGTAATCTCATTTGTTTATTCTTCTTTTGCTGCCCTTGCCTGAAGAGACAAATCCATAAAAAATAGTGCTAAGAACATTGTTAAAGAGTTTACTATATGTGTTTTTTCTCTAGGAGTTTTATGGCTTCAGTTCTTACACGCTAGTTTTTAATCTATTTTGAGTTTATTTTTGTATATGGTGTGAGAAAGTGGTCCTGTCATTTTTTTTTTTCATGTATCTATCCACTTTTTCCAACACCATTTATTGAAAAGCCTGTCTTTTCCCCATTATATATTCTTGCCTTTTTTGTCATATAAGCATGAGTTTGTTTCTGGGTGCTCTCTTCTCTCCAATTGGTCTGTGTTTTGTTATTCTTGCCAGTGCCATACTGTTTTGATTACTGTAGCTTTGCAATATAGTTTGAAATCAGGATGTGTGATACTTTCAGTTTTGTTGTTCTTTCTCAAGATTTCTTTGACTATTTGGGGTATTTTGTTGCTCCATACAAATTTTTGGATTATTTGTTCTAGAATTCTATGATTTGTTTTTGTTCTGTGAAAAATATCATTGGTACTTTGATAGGGATTACATTGACATTAGATTGCTTTGGGTAGTATGGACATTGTAATAATATTAAGTCTTCCAATTCATGAACATTACATATCTTTCCATTTATTTGTGTCATCTTCAATTTCTTTTTCAGTGTCTTATAGTTTTTAGATTATAGTTGTTTCACTCCTTGGTTGTTTATTTCTAGGTATTTTATTCTTTTTGATGGAATTGTTTTTATAATTTCTCCTTTTGATAGTTTGTTTTTAGTTTATACGAATGTGACAGATTTCTGTATATTAATTTTGTGTCCTGCAAAGTTATTAAGTGTATTAGTTCTAATAGTTTGTGGTGAAACATTTTCTAACCTAATCTATCATCTACAAACAGTAAATTTTACTTTTTCTATTTCTATTTTTTAATATATTTTATTGACTTTTTTACAGAGAGGAATAGAGAGTTAGAAATATTGATAAGAGAGAAATATCGATCAGCTGCCTCCACATATCCTACTTGGTATATGCCCGCAACCACTGGAATTGAATCTGGGACTCTTTAGTCCACAGGCTGATACTCTACCCACTAAGCCAAACCAGTTAGGGCTTCTATTTCCATTTTTGATGTATTTTATTAATTTATTTTTCTTATATGATTACTGTGGCTAAGACAGTACTATGTTGAATAAGAGTGTTCAAGTGGACATCTCTGTCTTGTTTGGAGTGAGCAGGCCAGCAGGGGAGCAGATGAGGGAGAGCAGGCCAGCAGGGGCAGGGCAGTTGGGGGTGAGCAGACTGGCACAGGGAGCAGTTGGAGGTGATCGGTCTGGCAGGGGGCAGTTGGGAGAGAGCAGGCTGGCAGGCAGAGTGATTAGGGGCAATCAGGCAGGCAGGTGAGCGATCAGCAGTCCCGGATTACAAGAGGGCTATCCAACTGCCAGTTTAGGCCTGATCCCTGTAAACCAGCAGTAGGACATCCTCTAAGAGGTCTCAGATTAGAGAGGGTGCAGGCCGGGCTGAGGAACACCCTGCCCCCCCTCCTGCATGAATTTCATGCACCGGGCCACTAGTGTTGAATAAGAGTGTTCAAAGTGGACATCCCTGCCTTGTTCTTGATCTTAAGGGAAATGGTTTTTGTTTTTGCCCATTTAGTATGATATTAGCTGTGGCTTTGTGATATATGGCCTTTATTATGTTGAGGTGTGTTTCCTCTATTACCAGTTTGCTCAAATTTTTTATTATAAACCAGAGCTGGATTTTGTCAAATTCTTTTTCTGCATCTATTTTATATGATCATATTTTTATCCTTTATTTTATAAATGTGGTATATTACATTAATTCATTTGCACATATTGTACTGACCTTGCATCCCAGGAATAAATCCCACTTGATTAAGGTATATGATATTTTTAACATATTGCAGAATTCAGTTTGCTCATATTTTGAGGATTTTTGCATTGATGTTCACCAGGGATACCAGCCTCATAGTTTTATTCTTTCATAGTGTCTTTATCTGCTTTTGGAATTAGGATGATTCTGGCATCATAAAATGAGCTGGGGAGTCTTCTCTTTCCCTGAATTTTTTGGAATAGTTTGAGAAGGACAGGTGTTAGTTCTTTGAATGTTTTGTAAATATCACTGATGTTATGTGCTACCTGTTAGGAGCTTTAAGGTGAACCACAGTTGGTAGCTGCCTCTGCTGGTCCTGGATGCACATTGTGGAGCCAAGCTGTGTGCCAAGGCCAGCTTCCACCAGAACTGAATCTGGGGCAGGTTAATAGAAGGCCCGGCGCACCCTGAGATCTGGCTCCATCTTCCACTGCCGGTTTGGTTCAGCCACTGAAAGAACCTCTGGCAGTATATGAGTTACATGAGACAGGGTCTGAGTCACTAGGCAGGGGTAAGTGGTGCTCCCAGGTTGGTACAGATTCAGTCTTCATGTCAGTGCTGTGTCTTAGGCCACAGTGAAAAATTCTCAACGTACACCAAGTTCAGGTTAGTTGCCACCCATCTGGGATCTGCAAATCTTTGTTGTGGGGCTGTGTGATCTCAGGGTGAGGTCAGCAGATTTCATCAGGTTATAATAACAGGATTTGGATTTGTGGCAGGAGGCTTTTCACAGGATCACTGTTGCTAGTCGAGATGTGTGGGGGAGGAGGTGGGTGGCAGTGGCTTTGCCCCAGAATCATATAACTATATCTCTCCCATGCATCTCTGACATCCCCTGCGACTGCCTGGACCTCCTTTAGAGGAAGACTGTAGCAGGCCCAGGCTGCCTGTAGCTGGCTTATTTCTCAATAGTGTGCCAGCTTGGCAGGGTGAGTCCACAGGGAATTGGGAGGGTAGGGCCACTGGGTCTCCCCAGGCCAATCAATGTCATATGGAAGGGAGAGCCAGGAAAATAGTGTCTGTGGACGGTGTGGGAAAGGGTTTCAGCACAGGGACAATGGTAGCTGTAACTTTAGCCTTCTCCCTAAAGTCACATAACCCAGTCTCTCCTTATATGACTCAAATTCTCTGAGCTGCCAAATTCTCTCAGAGCTACTCACCCTCTCTGCTAGATCTAGGGTGAGCGCCCATAAATGGGACTTTGTGTGCTGGCCCTTTAAGAGGGCACCTGCGTTTCTAGCAGACTCCTATCTATTTCTGGCAGTTGGAATCCTCACTGATTTTCACAGCCAGATGTGATATTGGCTCTTTCCTGTTCTGGTGCTCCAGCCTGGGAGCCTACCATGGAGTAGGCTTTGCTCTTCCAGGTGAACCTTTGCAACTGAAATACTTTTTTGGATTCTCAACCACTAGATACATTTTTTTCACACCTTCTTATTTATAAGACTTTTGTTCAACTAGTCTTCAGTTGATTTGTCAGATTTATTGTCCTATAATTTTTTTATTTTTATTTTTTACAGAGAGGAAGGGAGAGAGATAGAGAGCTAGAAACATCGAAGAGAAAAAAACATCGACCAGCTGCCTCTTGCACACTCCCCACCGGGGATGTGCCCACAACCAATGTACATGCCCTTGACCGGAATCGAATCTGGGATCTACCAGTCCGCAGACCGACACTCTACCACTGAGCCAAACCGGCTTCAGCAATTGTTCTATAATTTAAATGTAATTCTAATTTGATCCTAAAAGAAGTTGAGTATATCTTCCCCTAATTAGCTGCCATCTTGGATCTTCCTCATTCATATACTTTCTTAATTCTAGTTGTCGCTTTTTTCTTTTCTACTTAAGGAAGTCTCTCTTCAACATTTATTGTATGGCTGATTTAGTGGTGATGAACTTTTTTAGCTTTTGCTTGTTTGGGAAACTCTTTATCTCTCCTTTAATTTTGAATGCTAACCTTGACAGGTAGAGTATTCTTGAATGTAGGTTTTTGTTTTGCTTCCAACACTTTGAGTATATTGTGTCTTTTCTTTCTGGCTTGCAAAGTTTCTGCTTAAAAATCAGCTGATAGCCTTAGAGAAATTTCCTTATTTTTGTGACTGGCTTTGCAGATTCTCTTTATCTTTAATTATTGACATTGTGATTTATAATGTCTTGGTGTCTTTGGATTCATCTAATTTGGGACTTGGTGCTTTCTTGACCTAAATGTCTGTTTCCTTCCTCAGGTTTGGGAAGTTTTCAGCTGTTATTTATTCAAAGAAGTTCTCTTTCCCGTTCTCTTATCTCCATCTTAGACCCTTATAATACAAATGTTTAGTATGCTTGATGTTGTTCCTGAGGTCAACATCAATAATAATACATTATTCTCATTTAAAACAAATGTTTTTCTTATTTTTGTTCTTTTTAAACTTGGGTAACTTCCACTTCTTTATTTTCCAGATTGCTGCACTGTTCTTCTATGTCATCTACTCTGTTGATTCCCTTGTGTATTTTTCATTGCAGTTTATTGTATTCTTTAGCTCTGATTTGGTACTTCTTAAATTTTCTATTTCTTTGTTGAAGTTCTCATTGTATTCATTCATTTTTCCTCTCAAGTTTGGCGAGCATCTTTATGACCTTTGCTTACCTTCATTCTATTTAGTTCTTCTACTAGGTTTTATCTTGTTCTCTAGTTTGGAACATATTCCTCTGTCTTCTCATTTTACCTAATTCTCTGTGTTTATTTTTGTGTCTTAGGTAGATCATCTATATCTCCCAGTATTGATGAAGTGGCCTTATGTTGGCGATGTCCTGTGGGGCCCAGAAGAGTAATCTCCTCTGGCCACCAGAGCCAGGTGCTCCATGGCCGTCCTCTATGGGCTGTGTGCATTCTTCTATTGTGATGGGCCACCATTGCTACTGGCATGTATAGATGGGAAAGGCTAGGTAGCAAGACTGAGCTGTAGGGGTGTGTGGGCTTTCATCAGTGTTTCACTGACATTAGGAGGCTAGAGGGAGAATTTTTAAATGGTATCTAATAGTACTGTAATCAGCACAGAAGAATTAGAAGGCCGAAATGGCTGCTGCCAGTGTTTCAGAGAGCCCCTGCTGCCTCCTGCCTCTTTGGCAGGCATCTTAATAATAGTAAATGTATCCCTTTTAACTGTGGTCTATGTCAGCAATTTTCAACTGGCGTGCCACAAGAATTTTTAACACTTGTAATTCCTATTTAGTCAGGGGCACTGACCTCTTTTCCCTTAGATTGTCAAATAAAAAATAAAAGGAAACACAATAGCCATTTGGTGTGAATGAATCAAAAGTATACCTATTTTTATCATATTTTTAAAAATATATATATATATTTTTGGCATGTTTCAATTTTTTACATATGTCTCCTTTTTCCCCAATTGACTCCTCCTCCCCCAGCCATTCCCATTCTGGGCAAGCCTCCACCACCTGTGTTGATTGGTTATGCAAATAGGCATGCATACAAGTCCTTTGGTTGTTCTCTAACCCCTCCCCCACTAACATTTGTCTCTGGATCTATTCTTGTTCATCAAATTATGTTGATCATTATATCCCATATATGAGTGAAATTATGTGGTATTTATCTTTATTTTACTGGTTTATTTCACTTAGCATAATGCTCTTCAGTTCCATCCATGCTGTTGCAAATGTTAAACATTCTTTCTTTTCTTTTTTTATAGCATTCCATTATATAGATGTACCTCAGCTATTAGTTTATGTGTGCCATGATATGATAAAAATTGAAAATCACTGGTCAATGTCCTTTTCATATGGTGTTTTTCCCTGGATTCCAGATTGAGTGAGTCTTGCATGAGCCTTTAGGAGCAGAATTTATTTTCTACACAGTTCTGTAGTTGTCCTGGATATATTCCCTTTCCTGTTGGTTTTCAAAGGTTTTTGGGGGGGTTCGTCTGTCTTGTGCATGTACTAAGGATTGGGGTGCCTGATGTAGAACTTCAATTTCTCACTCTTCAAAGTAAAGTTCTATACCTTTAAGATCCCTGCTGCCCATGGAACACTGCAGTCCCCTTAATTGGACTGTATCTTATTTTTCTAGTGCTGTGTCGTGTGCTCATCCAGTTTCCATCTTAAACCTCCTCAGGCCCTCAACTCTAATAGTTAGCTGACTTAATTAAAACTATAACATATTTGGAAAAATTAATTATCTGTAATTGTATTAATTCATCTCAATAAAAAATTTAATTTCAACCAGACAAATGACATGGGAAGTCTTTTTGAAATACTTCCAGATCATTCTAGAATAAACTGACCTTTCTGAAATTTACTCTAGGTCAATTTGAATGATTATAAAGGAGGTTTTCCCCCAAATTTTCTGCAAACATTTATTTAAATTAAAATAATACATATAGCCAGGACCAGTTTGGCTCAGTGGATAGAGCGTCAGCCTGCGGACTGAATGGTCCCGGATTCGATTCCGGGCAAGGGCATGTACTGTGGTTGCGGGCACATCCCCAGTAGGAGGTGTGCAAGAGGCAGCTGATCGATGACTCTCTCTCATCGATGTTTTTAATTCTCTATCCTTTTCTCTTTCTCTCTGTAAAAAAATCAATAAAAATATATTTTAAAAAAAGATTAAATCCACAGATACTTTTTTAAAGAAAAAGAATACATATGGTTATTTTTTAATTTAAAAAAATATATTTTATTGATTTTTTACAGAGAGGAAGGGAGAGAGATAGAGTTAGAAACATAGATGAGAGAGAAACATCGATCAACTGCCTCCTGCACATCCCCTACTGGAGATGTGCCCACAACCAAGGTACATGCTCCTGACCGGAATCGAACCTGGGACCTTTCAGTCCGCAGGCCAACGCTCTATCCACTGAGCCAAACCAGTTTGGGCCATATAGTTATTTTTGTTTTACCTAATCCTCAGTATATAAGTAATATTGCCAACATTTTGTTTCAAGATTTATCATGAATCTGTTTGACCTTTATCCTTTTGCTAATTCTCACTATATCATATTCTGTGGTATTCTATTCATCTTCCTGTTTTAGAACAAGTCTGAAAAATATCAGTGTAATATTTTTCTTTTCAGGGTCAAGGAAAATCAGTGCCAAGTGGTAGTTGTGTTTCACCCAGCCATCCTCCACCACAGTCCAATGCTGCCCAGCCCCCAAAACCAGCCTGGAGGCTCCTCAGTTCACAAGGTCCTGTCACGTGGGAAGGAGCCGACAATTTGGTGAGATTAGGACTGCTGATTATAAATTTAATTTGGGAGAAAAAAATGAGTTGAATACATCTTATGTGTATTTCTCGTAGGATGATGAGGGAGAGGAAGAAGAGCCTTGTGTGATCTGTCATGAGAATCTCTCTCCAGAAAACCTCTCAGTTTTGCCTTGTGCTCATAAATTTCATTCTCAGGTAAACTAATCCTTTTATTGTTTACCATTAATCAACTAAGGGAGATTCATATTGCCTTATTTGAAACTGGAGACCCGGTATATGAAATTTGTGCATAGGTGTGTGTGTCCCTGAGTCCAGCCTGCACCCTCTCCAATTTAGGATCCCTTTCACAATCCAGGACTGCTGGCTCCCAATTGCTTGTCTGCCTGCCTTCCTGATTGCCCCTAACCACTTCTTCCTGCCAGCCTGATCACCCCCTAACCACTCCCCTGCCAGCCTGATTTATGCCTAACTGCTCCCCTGCCAGCTGGTCACCCCTAACTGCCGTCCCCTGCAGGCCTGGGTCCCTCCCCCCCCCAACTGCCCTTCCCTGCAGGCCTAGTCACCCCCAACTTCCCTCCTCTACCAGCCTAGTCATCTCTAATTGCCCTCCCTTACAGGCCTGGTCCCTCCCAACTGCCCTCCCCTGCTGGCCATCTTGTGGTGACCATCTTATGTCCACATGGGGGCAGCCATCTTTGACCACATGGGGGCAGCCATCTTGTATTGGAGTGATGGCCAATTTGCATATTACTCTTTTATTAGATAGGATCATATGCATCCACTGCTGTTTCTTGAGTGGATAAAGTGCTGGGCTTTTGGGTACCACACAGAAATACTTACACCTATTTCCCCAGCTACAGATTGCTTTGTGCTTTCTCAGATCTCCATATACCTTACAGGAGAAGGTGACGTGATTATACTTTAATGGTAGAGAGTAGGCAGTCACTTGAATAGAACTGGAAAGAATGTTGATTGACATAGCAATTCAGTGATAATTTAGCAGCATGCCACTTTACCTTGATGTACTATAAATAACATAGTGTCTTTTGTCCACACTAATGATGGTCTCTAGTGTTATAATGCATAAGACTTACCTTAGTAGTGTCATCAGGCTCTGGTATTTGTTTTTGAAGATGCTTAGGCTTGAGTTTTGATGTTAGAAAAATGTGAGGCTAGCATAACTTTTGTTGATTCTTAGCATTCATATAGATAGATCCTGGTGTTACTGCTGAGAGATGCTATTGATAGACAGTTTATAACCCAAGTCTTCTGTTGCAGACATGTAATTTGACACTGGAAAAGTTAATCTTATATAAAAAGATTAGGGAAGTGAACAATAGCAGGCTCATTCAAGCCATATCTGTAAAGCATCATTTCAAAGATATGTGATACATGTTATAGAATTATATTTTGTATCTGCTCTGATATGAAGAGATACACATAGAATGGCTAACCCTAAAAGATCTCAAGGACAGATACTTAGCCACCTGACTTTCCCATTTAAAGTTTTAAAAATCTGATTCATTTAGAAATTAAATGTTTCATAAAACTTATTTCATTCTTTGCTAAAGCCCATTGAATAGAAATTAAGGTAATTCATCCAGATTACTTTTTAGGGTTAGATTTAATGGGCTTCATATATAGTATCTATTCTTAAGCTGCTGTCATTTGACCTGGCTCTCCATCATTCATACAGGTAAAATAATTTTTTTTTTTTGCAGAATTAGTTTTCAAACGAAAGGCTTAACAGATAGTTCATAGCCAAATAGTATTATCATTGTCACCAAAGAAAAAGCAATCTGAAAAGTATTTCATCATCTAAGGATTTTAACTTCAAAACACCATAAGCACTTGACACAAGGTGTTAGTGACTTTTGTATGTTTAATTATGATGTGTTTCTGAGTTATAAATGAGGACGATCTATAATAAATTAGGGAAAACACTATAGAAGCTTTCCTCAACCTTTTTGTTAGGAAGAAAGAACTGCTTATCATCCTATATAATAAAAAGATAATATGCAAATTATACCCTTAACCTAGAGTTCCACCAGAGTTTGACCAGGGGCAAGGCTGGCCCCCTCCACTCCTGGCAGGCCCCACCCCCAATCTGCCGCCTACAGTCCTATCAGGGCGGGCCGGACCCCACTCATGCACAAATTTGCGCACTGAATATGTGGTGTTAGGTGAAGTCCTGAATATGTGGTGTTAGGTGAAGGATTCTAGGTGAATAAATTGTCTGAAAGGTGTTCTGTTACCAGCAATATCATTCAGCAAACCATAGAGAAGATGCCATCATTTCAACAGCTGGCTTGGCAGTTCACCAGTTAAGGCTTTAAGACCTACTGACAGACATGTTGGTTGACATTCCTGATGTACAGATTAACTAGAGGCCCAATGCATGAAATCCGTGTAAGGGTAGCCTTCCTTCTCTCCAGCCACTGGCAGGCAACCCGGACCTGGGCTTCCTTCTCTTTCACTGCCCGCAGGCACCTGGGACCCAGGCTGGCTTTCGCTCTGGCTCTGGCTTAGTTAGGAAGGACGTCCAGAATGATATTTGGTCTAATTAGCATATTATTATATTATTATTATTATTATTATTATTATTATTATTATTATTATAGAATGTAGGCCCAAGGCATGAAATTTGTGCTCAGGCACAGTCCCTAGGCCTGGCCTGTGATCAAAGCCATCTTCCCCAGCTGCCGGCAGCTGGCCTATCCCCTGCCTCTACCCTCCCCAGGTTCCCTGTTCACCATTGGGAAATTGGAGTCTGCAGGCCTGGGGAGGGGCCAGGATGTGGTCGGTGCACCTCATAGTGACTGGTCTAGCGGTCGTTCTGGTTTTTCCACTCTTTGGTCAATTTGCATATTACTCTTTTATGTATAGAAATGTGCTCCAGTCCTTCCACTTCTAGGGACAGAGGCAAAGGAGGGTTGCTGAAAGTGATAAGAGAGGCAGCAGGGTGAACTTTTTTTTTTAGGGGGGAGGGTGGGAGAGTTTCCACCTGATGGGGGGCTTCAAAGGACAGCAGCCTACTTCTGCTGTCCTCTGTCTCCAGAGACACAATTTCTGATTGGCATCTGGCAGGACAAAGTAGTTGCAGGTATAGGACTGGAAGTGCCTTTCTGTATGCGGCTCCCTGCAGAGTCTCTTCTGGCCAAGGAAAACTTTGTTCTAACCATTACTCCTGGAGCCAGGGCTGCTGGGTCATCTTGGGCAGTTGGACAGGATGGATGTGGGACAGGGAAGGGGAGGGCAAGAAGAAGTATGGGGTAGCAGACTGGGGGTTGAGGAAGGGAGAGGGTGAAATATGTGTGTGGAGGGGGAGGGCTGATGCAGAAGGAGAGTTGGGGTCAGCATAGGAAGGATTGGAGGTACTGGGAGAGAAAGAGGGATCAGCAGATGTCAGAACAGAGTAAAGGATCTCTGGAATCAGGTGGGGTCTGTGACTAAGTCCCTTCCCCAGACCCTGCCATCTCAGTTGGCTAGTGGGAGAGGTCCATAGTGAGGTGCTGAACCCCCTTTTATTTTGTGTCTGAGACTCCAGAATATGTGGCAAATATGCCCCACCCCTGACACCCCTGCCAAAGTGCTGCCATTTAGAAGGCATTTGCAGACACATGGATTGTTTTTAAGTTAATGCTTTTCAATTCACTCTGTTTCCCATTTGACATTTTTTTATTGAAAAGGCAGACTCTGCTGGTGTTTGTTCCTTTGTGTGTGTGTGGGGGGGGGAGGTGGAGTGGCAGCAGGGGTGTTCTCCATGGGCAGAGATCTGATGAGAGGCAGAGACAAAAGATGCAGGCAGACATGGGGAATGAGTAAATAGGATCAGAGAGCAAGGAACAGGAGCGAGATGTACCGAGCGAGACAGACACACGACACGGTGCTGTGTACGGGGATAGACTTCCCAGCCCAGTGAGAGGGCTCATTTGGTGGAGCAGTGGCTCCCTGGGTATGTTCACCCTGGATGCAGCTCTCAGGCCCTCTTCTGCCAGCCCAATCACACCTAACTGTCGTCCCCTGCAGGCCTGATTGCTCACAACTGCCCTCCCTTGCAGGTCTAGTCCCTCCCAACTGCCCTCCCCTGCAGGCCTGGACCCCCTAATTGCCCTCCCCTGCAGGCATGGGCATGGTCCTCCCAGCTGCTCTCCTCTGCTGGCCAGATTGTCCCTAATTGCCCTCCCCTGCAGGCCTGGTACACTGCCTCTACTGCCCTCCCCTGCATGCCTGGTTTTCTATAACTGCCCTTCCCTACAGGCCTGGTCACCCCTAACTGCCCTCCCCTGCAGGCCTTATCGCCCCCAACTGCTCTCCCCTGCAGGCCTGATTGCCCATAACTGCTCTTCCTTATTGATCATCTTGTAGAGGCCATCTTGTATCCACATGGGGACAGCCATTTTTGACCACATGAGAGCGGCCATCTTGTGTGTTGGAATGATGGTCAATTTGCATATTACCACTTCATTATATGGGATTGTTATTTGCTCTTTCTCTATAATAGAAGTGTCAGAGATGAAAGAAAACTAGTAAAATGTATATGAAAAATCTCCCTCCTGTCAGAGTCTGGGGCATGCCTTGAAACCCAGAGTCAAGTCCCCGCCCACCTACGTGTGCCTTGAAATCACAGAGACCCAGACCCAGCCGGCCCCACCCCCATCAAACCCTGCAGGATGGGAGGCACATCCTCAGATCCCCCAGCCCAATGCAGGGTGTGGGGTATGGCCTCAGGTCCTCTGGCCCCAGCGTGAGGACATGACAACTATTTGCATATTATCTCCTTATTATATAGGATAGAGGCCTAGTGCTTGAGTGATGGCTGGCCAGCCTGCCCTGAGGGGGCCCCAATTTGGGAGGGGGTCCCCTGCTGAGAGGCAGTACCAGCTGGGGCAAAGGAATACAGATGGTTTACAGGTTGGCCAAGCCTCTGATCAGGATTGGGGGTTACTGCTGAGAGGTGGGGCTGGCCTGGGCAAGGGGCTGCAGTTGTTCCGGTTTCTGGTCATTCTGCTGTTTGGGTTGCTGGGATTTTATTATATAGGATAGCTGCCTCTGCTAGGCTAAATCTGAGAGACTGACATGAATCTTTTTGTTCCCTAGTGCATAAGACCTTGGTTAATGCAGCAGGGGACATGCCCAACATGCAGGCTCCATGTTTCGCTATAAGAAGACTTTCCTGGTCACTCCAGCCGGCACTTGTCTAAGATCTGATGCAAGGTACTATGAAAAGGGAATTTTTAGACTCCACAATTTAGTTTTGCCTTTTGTTGTGAGCTTACAGTGTGAGTGGTGTGAAGCAGTACACTCCTCAGTTTTGTACAAAAGAAGCTAACTAATCTCATCAAAACTGCAGCCAAAGAGGACAAGACAAATCTTCAGGACTGTGAACTGAATGAAATGGCTTAAAGATGATGGAATTTTAAAAGTTACATCCATTACATTTAATCTTATATTATTAGGTGTTTTCTTCTAGCATAAACATGGTAAATGTTAGCATTTATCTCAGGATGTCTTTTTTTTTTTGTCATTTTTCTTCCCTTATTCCACTCATACTTGACTTTTCCTCATTATACTACATTTTAATTTTCTGAAATAAACTTAAGCAAGAGAAATACTGTAAAACCAAAAGGAGAAGTAGGAAAATTGCCCAGATTTTAGTGTTTCTTTTAACTTTTGAAACTGCCTCTAAAAATATAATTATTTAAATTTTATCTCTATCTTCCCTATTCTTTTTTATTCTCTAACATATGTACCCATGAAGAAGTTATGTGCTACTTGCGGACTATACAGTGGTGTATTAGAACTGTCTTATAATGGCTTGTGAGAGATTGTTAAAGTTCCAGGAATTTTTTGAGCCAATTGTCAAATAGTTGGTAACTTGAAATTTGTCTGTAGTGGGAGTGTTTACCCCATAGAAATTGGCAAATGCTCTAAGTGCTTCTCCTGCTCTCATAGTACACAGTACACCATTGGGACTATTACTGACCCTTTGTTCCCAGTGTCTTGCCCAGTAGGTGCAGCATAAATATTCGCAGAATCAGAAATAAGGAAGTAGTAAGGAAAGGAGTTAATGTGTGAACTAAGTCACTTGCTCAACTGAATAATTGAGATCTCATATCCATTTATTGTAAACACGGTCTTATGCCTTAATCATTTATGCTTAGTAGGAATATTGTTTTTCTGCCTTAAGTATCAAATTTCACTTTCTGATGCCAGGGATGTGGGGCACTTTTTGTGTATGATTGCTTCTTGTGACAAACTTGATATCCACTAGATTAAGTTGCATATCTAAAGCTTGTCACTGAGAGCTTGTATTCTTAGAAGTCAAAACCATATTGTATAAATGCTGTATGTTTACATGCCCCCAGTTACAAAATTAGAATAATTCAGTTATCTTGTAAGACAAATATTACTTGGTTCATATTTTTCCCATAATTCATGAAATAAAGACTGAATGTGTTCCCTGACTCAGCAAGTATTCTTTTTAGTATAACAGTGTAAATGTGTATCTTGAAGTTACTTCAAATCTCTATTTAAACTTTTTTCTGTAATGATATGCTGTTTTCTTCTGTAATAAGAACAGACAGTAAAATGCAAATAAAAAAATCCAAAAAATGAAGGCAGTCATCTAGACACATAAAATGCCAACAGTGTATCAGAATTGCAAAATTCAGAATTTATAGGACCTTTAATAATTCTCTTGTCTAAATTTCAAGGTCATGGTAATATAGCAAATTATCTTGTAAAACAAATGTTTCTTAGTTTATGTTTACAATTCCAATTTCATTTTCATGTGAGAAAGAATAAATATTTCTTAAACACCTGTTTTATCTTTGTGAATCTGTTTAAATGTATACTGAGACTACTTTAAAGGTCTTACTTTAAAGTCTATCAGGTCTAGTAATAATTAATGGCGTTTTTAAACATTCGTTTAAAATCTTGCTTGGCGTTGACTTGTATTGACATAACCTTCAAACACGTGGTATCTACAGAACGCGTGAAGTGCAATTAACAAGTTTTGCTTGAAAAAGTTTGTGTTTGGTTTGGTTTTTGTTGCAAAACTAGGGCTAAGAAGATGGCGGATGAAGAGCATATTCGGCACTGCATGCTTTACGAGTTCCAATTAGGAAGAAAAGCAAGTGAGGCTGCAAAAAACATCTGTAGTGCTCTTGGTCAAGATGCAGTTAGCGCCAGAAAATGCCAGCATTGGTTTGAGAAATTTCGCGAGGGAAATTTTTCGTTAGATGACAAGAGTGGTCGAGGCCGTGTGTCCAATTTTGATCAAGAAGCTCTTCAAGCTCTTTTGGTGCAAAATCCTCAAATTACCCAACAAGAGCTTGCGACAACTTTAAATTGTTCACGAAAAACAATTTCCAATCAACTGCGTGCACTTGGCAAAGTCCAAAAGTTTGGAAAATGGGTTCCTCATGAGTTGACCGACAACAACCGTAATCAAAGAGTCACAATTTGCAGTTCGCTCCTCTCTCGTCAAAACCGTTAGCCGTTTTTAGAGCAAATTGTTACCGGAGATGAAAAATGGGTGCTGTATGTTAATTTGAAAAGGTGGCCTCAGTGGTTGGACAAAAATGAGGCTCCGCAGCCCACGCTAAAACCTGACTTGCATGTGAAAAAAGTGATGTTGTGTGTTTGGTGGAATTTTAAAGGAATTCTTCATTATGAACTTTTACCATCTAATCAAACCATTACAAGTGCAGTGTATAGTGCCCAATTGGAAAGGTTAGCCCAAGCTTTAAGAGAAAAAGAACCCGCGCTGATTAATCGGAAGGGCGTAATTCTTCACCACGATAACGCACGACCGCATACTACAAGAATCACTGCTGAAAAACTGCGCCAGTTGGAATGGGAAGTTCTCCCTCAACCTGCATATTCTCCTGATATTGCCCCTTCCGATTACCATTTGTTTCGTTCTTTGCAAAACTTTCTTCTTGGAAAAAAATTTAATAATGAAGAATGCCTCAAAAATGCATTGACCGAATTTTTTGCATCAAAATCACAAGAATTTTACAACAGAGGGATTAAAATGCTTCCTGAGTGTTGGGCACAAGTAGTAGAAAACAACAGCAACTATATTGTTGATTAAATTTTGTTGTATTGTTTAAAGAAATTCGATTTAAAAAAAGTATTAGAAAACGACATTAATTATTACTAGACCTAATATTTATGTTTAATTGTGCTTAAACTTTTTCTTCTGTTATAGGAAAAGATCTAAGTAGAAGGCAGTTTATAAGTCATGTAGACTTGTAAAATGCCAAGACTTGGATATGGAATGTCAGTGCTTGTAGGACCTTAATGGTCCTCTAGTATATCCTCATTTTCAGGAACATCTTGCCCAAGGTCATGTTGTTACAGAAGACCAGAGAGAAAACCAAGTAATGCTTAGAGAAATGGAGTTACAGTGTTTTATTATGCCGGCAAAATCAGTAGGGTCACCTCCAAGAATATCTGAGCAAAGCAATATGGTGGGAGCTTTCCTTTATATTCTAGAGGACCAGTGCATGCAATTCAGTGCCTCAGCCCAGTCTGCAACATCACTAATCTGGGACCCCTCAAGGGATGCCCAACTGCCCTCTCACAATCCAGGACTGCTGGCTCCAACCGCTCACCAGCCTGATTGCCCCTAATTGCTTCTGCCTGCCAGTCTGATCACCCCAGACCACTCCCCTGCCAGCCTGATCAATGCCTAACTGCTTTCCTGCCAACCTGATTGTCTCTAACTGCCCTCCCCTGCCTACTTAGTCACCCCTAACAGCCCTCCCCTGTAGGCATTGTTGCCCTCAATAGCCCTCTCCTGCAGGCCTGGTCCCCTCCAACCGCCCTCCCCTGCAGGCCTGGTCCCCCCCCAACTGTCCTCCATTGCAGGCCTGGTCTCCCCTGAACTGCCCTCTTCTGCTGACCTGCCCCCCCCCAACTGTCCTCCCCTGCTGGCCATCTTGTGTCCACATGGGGGCAGCCATCTTGTGTTATTTGAGTGAAAGTCAATTTGCATATTACCCTTTTATTAGATAGGATTGGTCTCTTTGTTCCCCAAATATGTTTTTTCCGGACCTTATGTTGCATGATTAGTTTACAAGGTCAAACAGCTAAACTTATCTTCCCTGTTATTCAAGCAAGCTAAAAAGCAAAGTTAATTTACAGAACAAGAGATAGGCTAAAAATAGCAGAGTTGGCTCACAGAATAAGAGATCATCTAAACAGTAGAGAATTTCAAACAGTAGTTTTACAAAATGGAGGTTACTATGCTTTAGGTTGACAACACAATTTGGTTCTGCTTCTCTAGTAAGGCTCCAAATGTCGGGAAGAATTAACCTTTAGCCTTCTCAATCTGGCTAAATAGTGGCTGAGGCAGTCCTAATACTTGAGGGTCCTGACACTCAGTCACATGCTTTCTCTACAAACTCATGCTGCGAGAGTGTATTGGTGCTGAAACTGCTATTCTTGGCTCCAAAGATGGAGCCAGAGACTTAACATCATAGCTGAGATATAGTGAGAATAATATGTGCTCCTAAAAGTCATGTCCAATTCTGTAGATGCTGAAGGTAATGGGATTAGTTTTTCTTTTTGAGTTATAATATAATAATAAAGACAGCTGTTAATGCTCATTATATTATAAGCAATCATCACTGTCATTCCTGTGAGTCTGAAGGATCCAGATTACCATCCTGCTCAGAAATCCAGTGAGGGAAGTGGCCATATTTACATCAAAAACACCTGCAAGTCCTTGCCCTGGTAGGTTGCTCAGGAGGGTGGAGGGTTAGACCTGGTTAAGGGCAAATATCTGTGTTGCTGGTTCACTCCCAGCTCCCTCTCCCCTACCACTAGTTGGGGTGCATGGGGGAGACAACTAGTGAATGCATCTCTCTCACATCAATTTTTTCTCTCTCTCTCTCTCTCTGTCCTCCTCCCCCCTCCTTTCCTCCCTTCCACTTTCTCTGAAAAGCAATGGAAAAATATCCTCAGGTGCAGATTAACAAAAACAAACAAACAAACAAACAAAAAAATACATGAAAAGACCCTAGTAGTATCACTGCAGCTCCTATCAGAGGATATGCTTATAAAATTTTCTTCATAGTTATTGCCCAAAACATTTTCCAGCTTTTATGGGATACCTTCAAATGTGTTTGTTACATAACTTTAAAGTGGATATT